CACAGCAGAGACTGTGGTCTTTAGGATATATGGTTTATTTACACACATATATAAGACTACAATGGAGTTTACAGCATTGACACCCCACAAGATTCTTGCTTTTCCCATAATCGCAGCATAGGGTTCAAACAGAAATCAAACATGCTCCAAAACGTGGCTGTGACCCGCTCTCCAGCTTGATGATTTTTACAGACTGCAACATTTCTGAAAAAACCCAAGCCTAAACTCTCTGAAACTCCTTCCTTTTGCCTTCTAACTAACTCTGTGCTGAAGGAGGGGCCTCTCTCTCTGGCATACCTAATGGCTCATCATTTCCCCTTTGTTCTCCTTAATGGCCTATCCTAGGCAATCTCCAGGGATGCAGGTACTGTGGTCTAAAATTTTCAGGCATGTCCAACCAGTCAAGATTCAAACCTTTATTGCATTAGCAAACAGCCATAGCAAAATAAGACAATACCAAAAAAAAAAAAAAAAAAGACAAACTAGAGACAAGCAACCAAGCAAAATTCAGGTGATTTGGCTGGCGTAGTGACATTTAAGTTACCCGAAGACAATAATGCAAAGATATAGTAGCCAGCGCCAAAAACTAATATGCGGATATATATAAAGCACAAAATGGCCCCAGAACAGACTCAGCATATTGAGTTAAAAGTAATAAAAGAATTAAAACAGGTCCAGGTCTAGGGCACGCTACCCTGTCAGAGTAGCCCTGAGTTTCAGAGCCTGCACTATGAAGATTGCCACCCCACGTGAAATTTGGGGATTTGCGTCCACAAGAAGCGATTTCAAACAGTCTTCCTTAGATGTAATGGTGGACGGGATCAAAAGGAGGAGCTTAGATCTTATTGGCTCATAAATAGGGCAGTAGAAAAAGAAATGTATGAAGTCCTCTACTTCATTCATTGTGCATGGACATAGACGCTGGGTAATAGGGGTCTTAGAGTAAATCCCCTGCAGGAAGGCCGTGGGTATAGAATGGAAGCGGGCCATAGTAAACGCTCTTCTCAAATTGGGCTCCGTCAGGTCTATCAAGTAGTTGGCAAGTGATCTTACCACTTTCACTTTAGGGAGCCACATGGAGAGGCGAGCTGAGGTGGACTGTGCCCGGTCCATGGCCTCGTCTCTTGTAAGAATCCAGGCCCGGATTTTATGTTTGTCCCAAGAGGACAGCGAGTCAAGATCTGGGAGAGAGTAGCGTGCAGTAATAGTCACCATGGCCTTGGACCATTTATTGCTTTGAGAACACGTTAAAAAGGCTTGCCTGGCTAGTAGGGAACCTGGGGCATTGATTAATTTACAATAAAAGCTAATAATTCTAATGTGGGCTCTCGCAACAATGGAGGGGAGGCCCAGTTCTGTTCTTAACTGTGCTGCAACCGAGCCCTTGGGGAGACCCAGTACCTTCCGTGCAAAAGAGTTTTGTAGAATCTCCAGCCGTTGTAGTGTTGTTTTGTTTAATATTTTATTAAGGATTTTCTTGTTTTACAGAAGTGTAGTGCCTCATATATATTTTTCCCCATGTAACATTTTTACAAATCCGTTTCATTTGTTGAGGCATTAGGGGGAGAAGAAAATAAAAATAAAAATAAAAAAAGGAGAGAAAAGAGAAAGGGGGGTGGAGAGAGGGAAGATGGATAAGGGTGGGATTGGGTGGCGGTGTTTCTATTATGTTTAATGTATGTAGAGTTTGGTGTCAGCGTGCTTGTGTTGTTCACTTGTGTTCCTTTGGTGGTGAGAGAGGTTGGGGTTGGCCTAGGGTGTGATTGTTTGCTTGTGATTGGCTGTGGTGATCTTTGTTTTCGTGTGTGAGTGAGGTGGGTGGGTGTTTTGGATCAGGTTAGCCATATTGATTTGTATGCTGTTGGTGGATTATTGTCATTGTCCTGTTGGGCTGTGTGTGTGATAAAGGGGAGCCATACCGGGGTGAAGGCATCTTCTTCTGTTTGTCCCCGTGTCAGTTTCAGTTTATTAGTTAATTTTTCTAGTAGGGCTGTTTCCCATACTATTTGATACCATTGGTCCATGCTTACTCCTGACAGGTCTCTCCAGTGTCTGGTTATGGTGTTTCTGGCTGCTGAGAGCAGGTGGGTTATGAGTTCTTTGTGGTGTAAATGGGCATTGTTGTCTTGGAAGATGTTTAGTAGGGCCAATTCTGGGGTGATGTCTATTACTTGCTTAGTTATTTTACAAATTTCTTGTATGGCTGTTGTCCAGAATAGTTGGATTTTGGGACACTCCCACCACATGTGGAAGTATGTGCCTGTGGAGGTGCACCCTCTCCAGCATTTTGGTGAGGTTCCTGGGTGTATTAGCGCTAGTTTCCTTGGTGTTAGGTACCACCTGTAGGTGAGTTTCAGTGTGAGTTCTTTTCTTTTCGTTGATATGGATTTAAAGGGGGGTTTAGACCACATTCTGGTCCATTGAGTGGGGTTTATCTCATAGCCTATGTCATTCTCCCATTGATTTTTGATTGCGTCTAGGGGATTTGCGAGATTTTGGAGTAGTATTTTGTATATTGCGGATACCATCCCTTTACCGTTTCCCTTTGTCAGCCGTTGTAGTGTTTTTAAATTCCACCCCCAGATTTCAACCCCATACAGTAACATCGGGAGGACTTTGCTGATAAATGCTTTTCTGATTGGTGGAACCAGCTGGCCGCCTTTTGCATAGTAGAATTTCTCCAAGGCTTTGATGGTTCTGCGGGCAGCCAGGATGGTTGTATTTAGGTGAGCTGACCAGCTAAGCCCATGCTGAAAAATGATACCCAAATACTTGAATGCTGAACAATATTCAATAGAATGGCCCTCAAAATTCCACGGTGACTTCCGAGTTTTCGTGCCAAAAGTAAGAATTTTGGTTTTGGCGAAATTAATTTTAAGGGAGTTGGTATCACAATATGTCATGAGCCCTCTGAGCGTGTTGTTTAAGCCCAGCTTGGTTAATGACAGTATCACCATGTCGTCCGGATAGAGTAATATGGGGATCTTGAGCTGTTGTAAGGAGGGGGCAGATTGATTTAGGGCCTTCATAGTTGTAACTATGTCATTGATATAGAAATTGAATAGAAAAGGGGCCAAGAGGCAACCCTGTTTGACCCCTTTATTCAGAGGGAAAGAATCAGAAAGAGCTCCCAGAGGGCCGAATTTTACTCTGGCCGATATGTCATTATGAATTTCCATAAGAAGGAGGAGGAGTCTCTTATCTATGCTGGTGTAACTAAGCTTCTGCCATAGCCTATCTCTGGGAATGGAGTCAAAGGCGGAGGTCAGGTCCACAAAAGCCGCGTGTAGTTTGCAGTTGAACCTGTTTAGGTATTTATCAATCAGGGTAAGTAGAACAAGACATTGGCCAGATGTGCTGTGACCTTTACGGAAGCCAGCCTGTTCCGGATGGAATAGCTTTGTTTCTTCTGCCCACTCGATTAATTTCTCTAGCAAGAATCTAGAGTAAACCTTGTATGATATGTCCAACAGGCTGATAGGTCGGTAGTTACGCGGATCTTGTGGGTCCCCCTTTTTATGTATTGGGATGACTATGCTCTGTTTCCAGTTAGGTGGAATCTTAAGAGTAGCATTAATGGTGGTAAAGAGAGATGCTAAGATAGGGGCCCACCACGACTGGTTCGATAAGAATACCTCAGGTGGTATCATATCCTCCCCCGGGGATTTATCCCCTGATAGCATGCTAATTAGTTGAGTACATCTCTCTGGGGAGACTGGCTCCCAGGTGGGCAAGGCAGATGCTGGAAGGGTGGTGACTACATTTACGTCGGAATCTGGGGCGGAATACAGCTGAGCAAAGTGAGAGTGCCAGCTGGCTGCTGTGATGTTATTAACAATGAATGAGGGGGGTCTTAAACCTGCATTAATTAAATTCCAAAATTTCTTGTCGTCACGGGTTTTAATGGCCACTGACAGAGCCGTCCAGCGTTCTTTCGCAAAGAGCAATTTCTTATGTTGGAGCAGCTTCTTATAGTATGAACGAAATTGGGCTAACTCCCTGATTTTGCTCTGAGTGCTGTCTGATTTCATGTCAGACTGAAGAAATCTAAGCCTACTTCTGCACTGTTTGCATTCTTGGTCGAACCAAGTTTGATTCTTCCAGGTTAGAATCGCACGGGAAGGTTTCGTAAGCGAAGGTAGCAAGTAGGCTAGAATTTGCTGGAAAATTGAGAAATGATTCACATTCATTGTTAACAGCTGAGCTTTCAGGGCTAGGATCTCAGGGGAATTTAGGAGGACTTTTATGTCTTGCTCCAGGTAGATGTCCCACTTCTTACGTCCGGGGGCCAAGGTCAGTGAATCCTGGGGGTGTGGTGAGCTGGGAGGCCCCAGCTGTGTGTGGTGGAAGGAGATGGCAATTGGAAGGTGGTCACTTTCGGTTCTGTTGAACACATTGAAACAATATGCCTCATCATTAAATGCTGAGGAGGACCAGATGTAATCTATAACACTTGCCCCTCTAGATCCTAGAAAAGTATAGTATCCCCCGGACCAGTCTTTGGGTGTGCCGTGGTGTCCAACCAGTCCATCACGATTGACCAGTAGATCGTGGGATTGATCTTGGTCGATCATGGGATTAAATTAAAACCGCAAGTGGAAACAGGATAGATCTGCTTGGCTCTTGTTTTGTTTAAACTTGCAGTGGTGTCCAAACTTTTTTCAAAGAGGGCCTTTTTTAGGGTTGAACTTTGAACTTGTTAGGATTTTACCCCAGGAAATAATTTAATAATGATTAAGGACTCTATTGCTTGTTTTAATTTGCCAGTCTAAATAGAGAGAGTGTATCGCAATATGATCCACTGTGCATAAAAATAAGTTGGAAAGATTTTATCAAGTAAGTAACAAGTGTCAGAACCCCAAGGATCTCCGTCGCTGAACAAGCTCGAGGTCCCCTCTGCTCTTTTCATGCCTCTGCGTCTCTCGCTCGCGCAGGCGCTCTTCCTCCCTCCCCGCCAGGGGCCCGGGGTACATCCGGGAACCCTGGCAAGTGGGCGGGGCATCTCTGACCGCTCTCCGCCGCCGAGGCGTCGCGGGCGTTGGAGCCGCAGGGAGGAGCCGGAGCTGCCGGGCCGGCCAGGGGCCGCCTTTCCCGACCCCCGACATGGCGGTGAGCCCCTGCCGCTCCTTCTCGGGGGCCGCCGCCAGCGGCCGAGGGGGAGGCCGAGCTGGGCGGCGGGAGGCGCCGTCGTCTTCGCCAGCCAAGATGGCGCCCGCTCGCCGCGGGGCCGGGAGGGGCGGGGGGGGGAGCTGCCTCGGCGGAGCCCCTCCGCCTTCGGGCCCCGGAGACGGGAAGCCAGCAGAAACGTCTCCGTTTCCACGTCACTTGGGGATTTGGTTTTGATGGCGCCAGGGAGGGGCGGTTATTGGTTTGCGAGTGTTTTCCCTCATTATTATGTATTTTCCGTTTCTAGCCTGCATTTCTATGTTGTGAACCGGCCCGAGATCTGTGGTAAAGGGTAGTATACAAATTTAATTAGTAATGATATATTCGCACATGTTTCTAAGAGGTTTCCTCTCCACACTCCTGTTGACTGTTTTAGATGGCAAGGTAGTGGCACCGTCTCTTTCCCTCCCTAAGAAAAGTCTGTATGAGTGGTACAATATTTGATATTAGGCCCTTTTAGAAGTGTGGCTGTTATTTGATGGCTCGGTTCCATGTGTTTTTGCACAGAAAGGCCCACTATGCTCAGTTGGTCTTCTTTCCAGGTAAATGCATGAAGGTTCTCACGGTTCAGGCTCACCTATATATAATGTTTTTATTAAACACTTTGTAAATAAGGAAAGCAGGGGAGAGCTAGTTAAATTAACAATGCTAAGTTAAATATCGAGTCTGAGGAAAGGGGTTATTTTGAGGGTGATGATATATGGGGTTTTTGGGGAGAGCCCTAACGTGAGTTGGGGTGGGAGAAGGAAATGTGCCATTATGTGGTAACTTGAAAAATTGTGCAACTTAAACCTCAGCAGAACTGACAGAATTGTTGTTATTATTGGATCCCTAACAACTTGATCCTTTTATGCTTAATGACATTACTGAGTTCAATGGAACTCACTCCAGCTTTGTGAGGAAGCCCCCCAGAAGTTAGTAGTCTGGGGGTTGGGGAGGACTTAACTTGGTGGGACGGTGGAGAAGGTGTCCCCCACCCCCTGCTGCTGATCTCTCTTGGACCTGGAGTGAGATTCTTGTTTCTTGTGTTTCCTGCAAAGGAGGGGCAGAGTGCTCTCACTCACTGACCTGCGTGGAATTTCATGTGCTTGCCAATATGTGGCTTTGTGTCATCTATGCCTATCAGGCTAGTGCTTAAGCACAAGGATGGCATCATACACAGCAAGGGTTCTTAACCTGAGGTCCATAGATGCACTTCGAGGGTCCTGTGAACCAGGCACACCAATATGATTTGTTCCCAATTTAATAAGATAAAGAACATACACTGGGACTTGCTTCTGAGTAAGCATTTATAGGGTCTAGCTTCCAACAGTGCACTCTTCAAATGGGCACACTAACCACTGCACCACAGTGGCTCTCACTGGGGTGAACCTTTTTTCTTTCAGTTTGCAAAGTCATAGTTTCTGTGATAGGTGGAGCTGCCAGTAAGGGACATTGTCTCACTCTGTCCATTCATGCCCACGTAATGTGATTATTTTAAAAATTCTAATGTTTTTATTTCTGTATAGGAAAGCATTCCCCTGTAAATGGCACAGGAGCACTCATGCAAACATTTTAAAAAGTAGGGGGATGCTCCACCATTTCAATATCATTGGTTTCTTTGAAGGTTTGCCCCCACCTCAAATTACCATTGCAGTTATAGTGTGTTACACATTCCCAAACTTAAATCCCACTGTGCTCTCTATACAACCTGTTTTGCTATGGCTGGTTGCAACCCTCTAAATACCATTGCAAAAAGAACGAAATAAATTCTCTACAATTATAAAAATAGAAGGCGGTGCTGCATTGGGGGGGGTGGCAACTAGCTTTTTTTTCCTATCCCAGTTTCTAACACTGCTGCCCTTCATCAGTAGATCTCAGGGCAGTTCACAGCATAAAAATACAAAGTATTATATATTGGATTTAAATGTGCTTAAAATAAGACTCTATTTGGAAAGTGCATGTTGTAGGTAAGTTGCTGTAATGCATTAAAATATGCCTCAAACTGTGCTGCATTGACTTCTATTGTTGGGAGTAAAGACCACAGTTGCTGTGCTTGGTGGCGATAAACAGATGGAAAATTTAATAGGCCAAGGACTGATGTGCCATTCTCTTTGAAAATTTACTAATCAAAACATCTAAAATCACCCGAGGTACAGAAAAGAAGCAATTCAAAGAAGGAACTATGGGTTGCTTTATCAGTATCTGTTGACATAGATGTCGCTGAGGAGGAACATCATTTTTGGATTGGATACAGAAAATCCATCTCATTCTTCTGCAGTAGAAAACATTGTAGTGCTTGAATTTGGTTATTTTAACACCCTATCAAGTGGCTGTGGACTTGATTTCATACTAGTGGAATATATAGCTTTGACAATTCAACATTAACTAGTTTCTGGATGTTTGTGATGATTAAAAAATAGTGGTCTAGAATGCTTCAGGCAGTTAAGTTACTTTGCGATAGAGTGGTGGTGAACTAAGTAATAATAACAATATTTCATTTCATCATAGGCTAGTGATACAGAGCGAGAGGCAATAGCCCCAGAGAAATCATCTCCTGATAGAGAAAAGAAAAAAGATGCATCTAATTCTCCTAGAACTTCAAAACATCATTATTCAAGGTCACGTTCACGATCAAGAGAGAGAAAACGAAAGTCAGGTATGGAAGCCTCTAGCTGTTAAGAGTTTTCCCTATAAAAACTTGCTGGTGCATAAACTTGTGATTTAGTGGTAGTGTGTAGTTAGGCTGCTAACCTAAGCATCTTTACTTAGAGGTAAAATTGAATTCAGTTCAAATTATTGCAACTTCCAAGTAAACAATAACATTTTAGATTTATGTGCATGTCCTTTTAATAATAATAATAATAATAATAATTTTTTATTTATACCCTGCCCTCCCCAGCCAAGGCCGGGCTCAGAGAGGCTTACAAGCAATAATAAAAACAAGAAGAATGATTACAACTTAAAAACAAAAATAAAATACAACATTAAAATAATGGAACATTAAAATATTAAAATGTAGCCTCATTGCAGGAGGAGAAGGGAAAGAAAAAGAAAGAGAGGGAGGCAGGGAATCAAATTGGCTCCAAGCCAAAGGCCAGGCGGAACAACTCTGTCTTACAGGCCCTGCAGAAAGAAATCAGATCCCGCAGGGCCCTGGTCTCATGAGGCAGAGCGTTCCACCAGGCCGGAGCCAGAGTTGAAAAGGCCCTGGCTCTGGTTGAAGCCAATCTAACTTCCTTAGGGCCTGGGATCACTAGGGTGTTGCTATTTATGGACCTTGAGGCTCTCCGTGGGGCATACCGGGAGAGGCGGTCCCGTAGGTACGAGGGTCCTAGGCCGTGAAGGGCTTTAAAGGTCAAAAGCAGCACCTTAAATCTGACCCTGTACTCCACCGGGAGCCAGTGCAGCTGGTATAGCACTGGGTGAATATGCTCCCATGGCAAAGACCCCATGAGGAGCCTCACTGCAGCATTCTGTACCCGCTGGAGTTTCTGGGACAGCTTCAAGGACAGCCCCGCGCAGAGCGAATTACAGTAGTCAAGCCTGGAGATGACCGTCGCATGGATCACTGTGGCCAGGTCGGGGCGGGAAAGGTAAGGGACCAACTGCTTGATGCGGCGAAGGTGGAAAAATGTCACCTTGGCTGTTGCTGTAACTTGCTCCTCCATGGAAAGGGAGGCGTCAAGGATTACACCCAAACTCTTAACGGAAGGCAATGGCACTAATTGGGCCCCCGCAAGAGAAGGGAGTTGGTCCCTCATTCCCATGCCATCCCGACCTAGCCATAGGACCTCTGTCTTCGAAGGATTTAGTTTCAATCGGCTCCCACGAAACCATCCAGCCACAGCTTCCAAGCATCTGGTCAGTGTGTTCGGGGCCGAGTCGGTGTGGCCATCCATCAGCAGATAGAGCTGAGTGTCATCAGCATATTGGTGACAGCCCAGCCCAAAGCTCCGGATAATCTGGGCAAGGGGGCGCATAAAGATGTTAAAAAGCATCGGGGACAGGATTGTGCCCTGCGGCACTCCACACACCAAGGAGTGGCGCGACGACATTTCCCTCCCTAGTGCCACCCTCTGTCCCCGACCAGAGATAAAAGAGCACAACCAGTTACGGGCTATGCCCTGTATCCCCACGTCTGCGAGGCGGTGGTCCAGAAGATCATGATCGACCATGTCAAAGGCTGCTGACAAATCTAAAAGGATCAGCAGTCCTGACCCGCCTCGATCCAGTTGTCTACGGATATCATCTGTTACGGCAACCAGAGCCGTCTCCGTCCCAAAACCAGGACGGACACCGGACTGAAATGGATCTAATGCCGATGTTTCCTCCAGAAACCTACCAAGCTGTTCAGCAACCGCTCTCTCAATTACCTTACCCAGGTATGGAAGATTTGAAACTGGGCAGTAATTGGATAGGTCTAAGGGATCTAATGAAGTTTTCTTTAAGAGTGGACACACCACTGCTTCCTTCAGTTCCCCTGGGAATGTACCCGTGTCAAGGGACAAATTGATAATTTCAACCAGGGGGGTCCGCGCAACATCTGGACACTCCCTAATCAGCAAAGACGGGCATGGATCAAGGAGGCAGGTGGTGGGCCTACCAACTTGGAGGAATCTATCCACATCAGTAGGGAGTATCCGATCAAAATGGTCCAACACTGGACCTGAAGTCAGTCGAGGGGCCTCCAGTTCGGTCACTGTATCTAAATTAGCAGGGAGGTCATGGCGGAGCAACAGGGCTTTCTCCGAAAAAAAGCTCGTGAATGCCTCACAGCTGTGGGTCAAATTTGTGCTTAAATTTGGTTGTCCTCCTAAGGACGTTAGTGACCTAATTATTCTAAAAAGTTGTGCCGGGCGAGAGCTAGTGGATGCAATGGAAGCTGCAAAGTAAGATTTCTTAGCAGCTTTCATAGCCATCTCATAGGCTTTCCTAAGTGTCCTATAAGATGTTCTTGAGGCTCTGTCACGAGTCCGTCGCCATACTCGCTCTAGCCGTCAAGATCCCGCTTCATTTTCCGGAGCTCCTCAGTAAACCAAGGGGCCTGGTTTCGACGGGGTTGCAGAGGGCGCTTAGGCGCGATCTCATCAATGGCTGTCAAGAGCCGGTTATTCCAGTCCTCAACAAGGTCATCTAATGAGTTGCCAGGAAGAGCAGGATTCCGCAAGGCTTGTCGGAATCTATCAGGATCCATCAGTTTTCGCGGACGAGCCCAAATAGGTTCGCCACCCGAGCTGGGGAGGAGCGGGAAGTCAATCTTGGCTTTCAGAGCGTAGTGATCAGACCATGGCACTTCCACAGAGGGGAGCATGATCACATCTATGCCAGCCCCAAAGATCAGATCCAGCGTGTGGCCTGCTTGATGAGTGGGGCCCAAAACAAACTGGGAGAGCCCTAGTGTTGCCATGGAAGTCACTAGGTCCAGAGCCTGTGAGGAGGGAGCGGCATCGGCATGGACGTTGAAGTCTCCCAAAACCAGTAGGTTTGGGAACTCCAAGGCCCAGCCCGCCACCACCTCCAGCAGGTCTGACAGGGTGGCTGCAGGTGTGCTGGGTGGTCGGTACACCAGCCAGACAGCCAAGCTCTCCTTGGTGCCCCACACGAGACCACATTCAACACATTTTGAGTTCTATGTTTCAACCTCTTAAAAATGTGAAATTTCTCAACAGTTTAAGCTTCAGCATCATGTTAAGGGTTGAGAGTTGGAGTAGGTGAGGAGCAGATAGGTAACATAGATGTGAAAACGCTATTTCAAATAATAATTATATTATAATAATTTGTAATTTATACTCTGCCCATCTGGCTGAGTTTCCCCAGCCACTCTGGGTGGCTCCCAATCGAGTGTTAAAAACAATACAGCATTAAATATTAAAAACTTCCCTAAACAGGGCTGCCTTCAGATGTCTTTTGAAAATAGGATAGCTGCTTATTTCCTTGACATCTGATGGGAGGCCGTTCCACAGGATGGGCGCCACTACTGAGAAGGCCCTCTGTCTGGTTCCCTGTAACCTCACTTCTTGCATTGAGGGAACCGCCAGAAGGCCCTCGGCGCTGGATCTCACTGTTCGGGCTGAATGATGGGGGTGGAGATGCTCCTTCAGGTATACTGAGGCCGAAGCTGTTTAGGGCTTTAAAGGTCAGCACCAACACTTTGAGTTGTGCTCAAAAACATACTGGGAGCCAATGCAGATCTCTCAGGACCGATGTTATGTGGTCCTGGCCGCCACTCCCAGTCACCAGTGTAGCTGCTGCATTCTGGATTAATTGCAGTTTCCGAGTCACCTTCAAAGGTAGCCCCACATAGAGCGCATTGCAGTAGTAAGTAGGAGATAACTAGAGCATGCACCACTCTGGCGAAATAGAAATGTAAACCATTGAAATATTTTAAGTACTGGGTATGACTGGGAATGGCATGTCTGTAAAGAATGAAAATCCTTTTCCAAGCACCTTTACTTGACAATAAATGTTTTATTCCTTAGATAATGACGGGAAAAAGTACAGAAGTCGGAGCAGAAGCAAAGAGGTAATTAATACTTTGTAGTGCTTAGGTAATTGTACAAGATGTATTTAAAAGTACATCATAGCATGTGTAAATCTTAGTATATAAATGTCTTAATGGTAAGTACAAAAAATGATAATTCAGAAAAATATGCTTGGAGAGAGAAGCATGACTGAAGCCATCATTATGACAAAAAGGTAACAGTTGACAAAAGTTCACTGACAGATTAACTGTGGAAACAGCCACAATAAACATTTCTTTGGAGAAATAGGATTGGTATATTTGATTCTCACAGAGCTTCCATTGACCAGAGTTCTCCTCAAGAATTTGCAAAGGTGTTCTCCCTGCCCTCAAACTTATCCACTTAGTTCTTAAATATCCACTTAATATTTTAAGTTTTCCTATGGTGCCAGTGCATTTGGCAGGGTTTGTAAAAGTAAATCAAAGGCAAGGGCACTGAGATAAGACAGTGGTAGTGATAACATTGTTAGGTAAGCCAGTTTCCTCCAGTGGTGAAGTAATATCAGTGGAGGAGCCCTAGCAGTAGCCAGAAGGTTAGCCAACTTCTGATGGGGTAGTGTTAGGCTAGAGAGAGATGGGGCCAGTTCTAATGTGGGGCCAGGGACCTTTTTCTCTTTACCCAATGGAAGCTCTGTTTTAAAAAGAAATTAGAGTATTTGTGAAATTGATTATATTGTTTAGATCACATGATAACATTTCTATAATAAATCATACTCAGCGTGCTAATGCGCGAAGAGACTGAACTGAAGACGCTCCAGACTCAGATAGCAAAATTATAAGCCTACTTCATGATAAGGTAACTATTAGTCATTCAAACTCATATTTCCCTTTAAAAAGCAACTTAAACCGGTTATGGGATATTATGGTGGTTTTAAATACAAAGTGTATATTTAGAAGACTGCTCCATTATGTTAAAGTAAGAAAATCTTTCACTAAACTTAAAAAATTATGTGTAGAAGGAGGATTACATGTTAAAAGTTTGTTTTAAAAGGCTGGTTTCTTTATGTACAAGTTCTTTATGTACAACCTGTACACATTAGCTTTTAAATTCAATGGGGAGTAACTGGCGGTGATATTTGAAACTGCTGTGGATGTCTTAAAATCTGTAACATTTCAATAGCTGTTGAATTAATGCGCTGACTTTTATGGTTCTAGTGAGACAATTGAAAGGAAGAAGGGCAGAAGGGTATGGGCATTGCACCTGTGTGGAGGCATGCCCACCGCAGGAAGCTCACAGATTGCCTCTACCTTGTGGAGGGTTCATTCCATGTTTGCGGGCTGGCTTGCCCATTTCCTGTATATAATAAGTGGACTCTTTGCACTATTTGTTTTACAACAAAATTCTAATGATCTTTCTTCAAGTGACTGAAAAAGTAGCCCAAATGGATCTAATTGATGTTACGAACTACTTGGAACAAAAACTCATCACCTACTATGTCTAAGATGAACAAGTATTAAAATCTCTATAGAGTAGGAAGGTGATATTTCTTTGCGTAGCCAACTCTCTTTGGCAGTTGTTGATGGGCAGTATTGTCTTTCATGTGCAGTATTGTCTTTCAGTGGGGTTAGTTGCACCTGGAAGAAACAAAGTAGTAGTTGAAGCACCTAGGATTTACCTTTACTTCTACCTTTGGGTGTGAGTTTGGGGATTTAAAAAATAATAAAGACTCACATGGTCTTTAGAGTAGAAATCTATCCATATACGATTAACTTACAAAGAAAGAAAGTTTTTGAGATAATAAGAAATTTGGGTAAACTGGCCTTATATGGTAAGAGATTTCTTCAAAGAAAATAGCACACAGACTGCTGCAGATTCAAAACATGACAGTTGGTCTTATTGGACCTCTATAGTGTAAGACTTTAGGGTGGAGATACTTATTTATAATACTTAGAAAGTTGGCCAGTGCATGTACTTCCATGCTTTCTTAATTGCTGATGAGCTTGTACGTAAAACGTTTAGACAGTTCTCCTGTGTATGCTTATCCCATCCAGCTTTTGAGCATAGGGGTGGAAAAACATGGTCACTATGCATGAGGTAATCAAACACTAGAGAGGCTGCTGTTCTATCTAATGCTGTGAAACTGGTAATGGTCTGAGTTGCTTTAACAACACGGTACAAAAATGTTTGAAAAGTGTGGGATGGGAAATGGGAGGAGGAATGATAGCGAGCACCTGCAACATTGTGTAGCTGATGGTGTTAAAAGCCATCACAGTTGTCTGGGCCCCACTCCTAAGGTTACTAATGTTGCATCACAACATATCATTCTTTATCTGCTGATGCCCATACTAACTCTCTTTGTTGCACTATTTTCCTGAAAGAACCAACTTCTTCTTAAAACAGGCAAGAAGACATGGGTCCAAAGAGAAGTCCTCGAAGAAGCACAAATTTGAAGACCATAACGACAAAGAACACTCTTCTGATAAAGGAAGAGAGAGCCTGGGCACTTCAGAAAATGGTGAGGAACGGCATAAGCGCAAGGAGAGGAAATCCTCAAGGGGACGAAGTCATTCAAGATCTAGGTCTCGTGAAAGGTACACTTAACAATTTCTACTTTGGAAATGCTTCAGTGTTCTTTATGCTCTTGTTCTGTTAGACGTGCCCAGCTACACCTTCATCCTTTGTTCCAGCATACCTGGTGCAACGTCACAGATGTGCCAGATCGGTTTTTTGTATGGGTTGGTGTTACTGTTTGTAACTTTTTTTGATTTTGAGGATCAAGTGGCCAGTGTTTCAGCTGTTTTTCCTCCCCATATGTAGGATTTGTTTACTGTAACCCTTTTGCCAAACCTTTAGGTTATGCCACAAATTTGTTTTCCAGAATGAAAATACTTAGTAGTGTTCAGGCCACTGACTTCATTTGAAGTGAAGTTACACTATTTGTAGATGAGCCCAAAACTGACAGCTTTTTGTGACCTCTCAGTAGAAGATAATGAGCAGGTTTCCTTTGCATCTTGTTGCTATTAAATGTGAATAATAAAGCTAGAAAATGTTACCAGAAGTTTGGAATGTGTTTGCAGGCGTCACCGTAGTAGAAGCCGTGATAGAAAAAAGTCACGATCTCGAAGCCGAGATAAAAAGCGACGTGTAAGATCACGTTCTAGATCAAGATCTAGACACAGGCATCGGAGCAGGAGCAGAAGCAGAACTAGGAGCAGGAGCAGGTATGTTAAGTTCTTTCTTTTTTCCTTGAGATGCAAATTATAGGGTCGGTGCTAGCAGTTGGAAGTTGCACTCTGAAGAGCAGGTAGATACAGTTAATTTATGGTCAAACTGTCAAATAATTACATGATAAAATACCTTTACCTGCAGAGAAAGAAAGAAGAGACCTGAAAAGCCCAGAAGATTCAGTAGAAGTCACAGCCGAACTCCAAGTCCACCTCCTTTTAGGGGACGGAACACAGCAATGGATGCACAGGAAGCATTAGCTAGAAGGTACTATGATTTTTTTGGCCTTAAGTTTATAGAAGCCAAGAACTTACTCTGTTTACCTTTTACTGACTTAGAGTAGAAGCACAGCATGCAAGCTTTGAGGGGGGACCATTGTCATTCTCTACACACCCCTGCACCAAATTTTAACATATTAAAATGTGGAGAGCTATTTTAGGCACTGATACCTAGATGAAGTCAAAAGCATAGTGTACTCACAACATTTTTGCTTGATGTATTTGCACTTTTATCAATACACAACTGAAATGTACCTTTGCTATAGTGAAAGCTAGAAACATACAACACAGAACCACTCCGTTATGTTCTTTAAGTTGGAGGGTTCTATGAATGCCCTTCAGGAATAACATAACAATTGTTAGTATAAAAAACAAAGGGGAAAAGAGATCAGTGTGGGGGGAAATAATAACTTTTGATCAATTGATTTATTTTGCATGTTTCCTAGATTGGAAAGAGCAAAAAAACTGCAAGAACAGAGAGAGAAAGAACTGGTTGAAAAACAGAAGCAACAAGAAATGGCTGCTGGTAATTCTGTTTTTATGAACTGCTAGAACATAATGAATAGTAGTGGAAATATTTATAGCTTCATATTGGAAAGCTATAAAAAGAAGAAACCTCATTTGTTTTAAAATAAAGCAACAGAAACTTCTCTATTCAAACTTTTCTCTTTTTTTGACAGTCCCTAAAAATAGTTGCATCACCAGACAAATGCTTAGAAATGCAAATGCAAATGCAAAAGCTGTCTAAGGTCTTTCAATTGGCTAGCTTGTACTTAATGCCCATTATGATGAAACTTTTACTTAGTCCATGTTTCTGAGATTAAAAAAAATTCTGGAAGCTTCTTCTTGTATAACATGTTAATTTTCATTTTAGCGGCTGCTGCCACCGGCACTTCTGTCATCAATGTTGCAGCTCTTCTGGCCTCTGGAACACAAGTCACTCCTCAGATAGCTATGGCAGCTCAAATGGCAGCCCTGCAAGCAAAGGCCCTGGCAGAGACAGGAATAGCTGTTCCAAGCTATTATAATCCAGCAGCAGTAAATCCCATGAAGTTTGCTGAACAGGAGAAGAAGCGGAAAATGCTGTGGCAAGGCAAAAAAGAAGGGGTATTTTTCTTTGTCTAATTATTCCACTTTGTGCTTTGGGAATTGTTGAAGACAAGGACATAACTTGTGATATTCCTGCATTGCAGGAGGTTGGACTAGATGACCCATGGGGGTCCCTTCCAGTTCTGTGATTCTGTGATACAATGGGCACAAGCCACATGTCAGCAAGAGGGGCCTCTTAGTAGCACACAGAACATTTAGCCATCTAATGGTCATACTTGGCAGTGTAACCATTGTTTTATTTTTTAAAAGTCTGGTATGTTCAGAATTCTAACGAGCATCTGCCATCGTAATCTCAAGTGTCTTAAGGTCTACAGAGCCAGTAGGTGGTCTAGTTGACATGTTGAATAGCTGTCAATAAAGACTTTCTATGAGAAGTTCAGAAGGGGCACTTGTCCTAAGGGTGCTGGGATTAAAAATATTTGCTTAATCTTCACTAAACCAGCAGTCCTGCAACATTCTTATTTACATTATTGAAAGTTTTAGGCTTGCAGCCAGATTGTTTGTTTCTAGTTCCAGTTCCAAAGGAAACGTGTTAAAACAAGAGTGTGTGAGAAATACTTTAGGACCTCTTGCTTATTAGTATATTTAAACAGTTTCCCCCATTGTATCATCAGATCTATAAATCAAAATGAGTTGCAAATTTACCTATGTGTCATATATGTATGTAGTAAATCACTTTGTGTTTCTATAGGATAAATCACAATCTGCAGAAATCTGGGAGAAACTGAACTTTGGAAACAAGGACCAAAATGTCAAATTTAGAAAATTAATGGGTATTAAGGTATGTGAAATGTAGAAAAACTCGTAACCGAAATTGCTTTCAAGTAAGAGCTCAGGTTAAACGACTCTCTCGAAGCGGTTCAAATCGGCATATACAGCAAGACGCCATTCACCGCAGATTCTGGCCCAGAACTAGGTGGTCAGTTTAATACATTGCCAGTTTAGTAGATCTCCAGTATAATCAGGGGAGGTATATGAGCCCACAAAACCTAACTTCAAAATATAAATTTAATTAAGTAATAATTAAGAGTGAGCCAGCAATAAATCACACAGATTATGTGCTATTAAATGTAATGCACTTATATGAACACAAGTGGAGTTAACTCTTTATTAGAAGAAACAGTAACTGCTCAGGAGTACCAAACGCATTGAGCACAGGAACTCTTCTTCAGAAGGTCTTCCACGTGACACATTTGTGGGGACTGAACGTCCTCACCTTCCCACAGCTGGTTAAGTCTCCTCCTCTCCCAGATCTTTCCCAAGCAATCTGAGATGCTGGCAGTGTGCTGGCCTTCATTCCTCCCACTTCATGTCTCTCCTGGTGCTGGGAGACCGGGGGTGGGGGTGGGGGGAGCTTGTTGCAGCAGGAGGGGGAGATCCCCCCCCAATACTTTTTCAACAGTGACTCAGATGAGTCTGCTGCTTCTGATTCTGCACTTCTCTCTGCCACAGACTCTCCCTTCTCACTAAGCCCTGTTGCCTCTTCAGCTTCTGACACCTCCTCCCAGTCTTCTCCCTCTGACCATCATCGCACCACCACTCAACTGGGGGTTTAGTTTGGGGGTTCCCCAGCTGGTGCCTCCCCCTATTCCTCTGCATCCAGCCAGCCCATGACAAGTACTAGATAAGCTGTAATATTCCAAGGAAAAAAAAATATGTGTTGGGTTGACCCAAGGGAGATTACATCTTTAAACGTTAAATTCTTGGCAAATTCTTTCTATAAACCTACACCAAAATGAATTAATGACGGTTACGTGTGCTATATATCCTTGAAACTGATAACATATTTCCCCAGGCATTTGCACTCTGCATTTACTTGCTCTGGAAATTCCAGCTGCAGAAAAGATGCTTTAATGAATGAATTGCCAGAATAATAGATGACTAGTTTAGAGGACATATCTGTTAACATATTTTAATAAAAATCATAATATATTATTTCAATTCTAGAGTGAAGAGGAAGCTGGTGGTAGTAGTTCGGTGGATGAAGAAAGTTACAAGACTTTGAAACAGCAGGAAGAAGTATTCAGAAATCTAGATGCACAATATGAAATGGCAAGGTCACAAACACACACCCAAAGAGGGATGGGATTGGGATTCACATCTTCGATGCGAGGAATGGATGCTGTTTGAAAGAACGTGATCTTAAAGCCTGGGACTTTGTCAAAGATGATTGTTCAGATATTGGGTCCTTGTTCACCAAAGGCTAGCATTCTAGCTTGCATGGGGTGTTGCATTGACTTTAATTTATTGACATTACAATTTTTGTAAATATCAGATCAGTGATAACTGGTGTTCCATGTTGTAATCAGGTTATACTCACTTCCATTATACTTGACAGAGCTGTAGGAGGACATTTTTAGTTCTGTATTTCAAAACAGAACAGGTGAGGATAAACTCATACATGGATATTTTGTGTCCACTGTCTTGTGTACTTTTGTACTTTAACCTTGTACAGTTATTTTCAACTCTTGAAACATAAAACACATTGTGTAGGTGTTACTCTAGCAGACTGGGCCAGTGGGTGCATAATGCAGTGCAAAAACCTGGTTAATAAAAATGTTTTTTCTCAAATAGTACTGTTTTTAAGTTCAGTGGATGAATTGCTCAGAGCTTAATTTTGTACAATTCATTATAACTTTATCTCTAGAAAGAAGCTTACTTCAACATAACTAGAGCAGAGCAAAATTGAGTTTTCATGAGTTCCTGCATTATGCTACTGCAAGCCCTTGCTCAGGAGATACTCTCCTCTAGGCAGAGTTCTCACTGGACTCACTCTAGTCTTATTCCAACCTGCCCAAACAAGTGGAAGTAAACCATACCATATCTAACAAGATGAATGTTACCATGTCCCGTGCCTGCTTATTCTAGCAGTAGGTTTTGATAAAAGCTTTTGGCAACGTAAAACTATCACCACCAGCTCAACATTTGCAATGTGACCTGTATGAAAAACATGTTTTTCATAATATGCTGTGTGGGGGCTTTATATCTTCTAGTTAGGCTGTGCAATGTAATAAAAAAAGTTGCATAGCAACAGAGTATGTTGCACTGCAACTTTTGAACTTTAACTTTTGTTGCATGTTAAGATTCTAATGCCCATGTAATGTGGCATGTCTCCTCAGTTTTAGTGAATAAAATGTTTATTATTAAATAAGATTAGGATAGCTGTTGAAGAAGAGAACTGAAACTACCACTAGAAGTGTTGTAAAATCAATAGGTAATCTCTTTGCAGAATCACTTGTCAATAATTCTTGTTCAGTTATTGAGCCCTTGTTCCCCAAAGCTAGCATTCTAGTTTGCATGGGTCGTCTGGAACAGTAGCAGAATTTTGATACTGTCTGCCCCAGATTGACTTCTCATGCTCTTTTTCTCAAGTGGTACTCTTGCGATAGTTCCAGGGGCTTCATATGCTATAGAGTTACAAAAGTAAGTTTGATTAAAATTGAAATTGAAGCCCACAGACTTCTGTGGAATTTATTCAAAGAGAAATAACTGAAAGAGGTAGGGAGTGCTTGGTGATGGATTGCGTCAATGAACTACTGTATGCTTTTCTGTACCCAGAAATATAGATGTATTGATTAATTTGAATGGAAAGTGGCTTACAAACATAATTGTAACATAATAGTAACATAATAGAACACAAGTACAGCGTAAGTCATATCATGAACAAATCACCTGTAAAACTATTAACCAAACAGCAACTAAAAAATAAGCTAAACACGCTTTAAGTGGCAGTGGCTTGCCAGGGTTTCAGCCAGGGTATCTCTTCTACCTCTATCAGAACATGCCTGGTGATTGAACCTGGATGGTCTGTTGCTGCCCTATGTTTTAATGAGGAGAGAGACCTGACGATAGTGGGAGAAAAGGAGGGTCAGTTGCTTGGTTCCTGCTTGTGATGTAACCAGGTTCTTTTTGCTTTTTGCCACTCCTGAAAGTGGTGATGTGCTTCAGGTTTGTGGAACTGGAAAAATGAGATTGTAGCTACTCTGTTAGTGAAGACATCTGCTAGTATGTTGGAGAGCATGGATAAAAGGGGGACTCGTTTTACTCCTAGCTGTACAAGTTAGTAATTCCTACCCAAGCTACGCAAGTATATTAGCCGAGCTACCAAGAAACCTCTGCAAGAAAAAGCACACAGGAAGAGGCTGAGCAAAAAGAGCTGCAGCTCGCCCCCCCCCCCCCATTGCGAGTCAATCTCCGCCAGCCTGCGCTGCCGGAAGCTTGAGAATCGGGCGGAAGTGCTTGGCCAATCCCAGCATGCATCGCTGCCCCCAGCCGCTCTCCCAGTGTGAAGTTCGGGCCTGGGGGCTGCGGGTACCGCCCGGCCTCGCTGCATTGTGGGAGTTGTAGTCGCCTGCCCGAAGAGCTCTGGCGACTGAAGGCCTTGCGTGCAACTGGGGCCCTTTCCGAGGTGAGGCCGGGGCCTCTCGCCGCCTTTCCTCTCCGCCCGGCGGCAACTCTTTCCGCAGCGCCTGGCCGTGCGGCCGGCGGGCCACGCGCGGCCGGCGCCTTCCCTCCCCGACCTAAGATGGCGGCCGAGGTGGACTTCGGGGACCAGGAGCTCTTCCAGCAGCTGGACGCCGGCGAGGCGGCTCCCGTCCCGGCCGCGCAGCCGCTCCACGCCCGCTTCGAGGAGGCCGGGGCGGAGACGGAGGAGCTCCGCCAGCGGCTGAGGGAGTGCCAGGAGACCGTCAGGGAGCTGCAGGCCGAGAATATCCTGGCGGGGGAAGCAGGCCGGCCCGGGGGCGCCCCTCCCCTGAGCGGAGCCTCCTTCAAAGGGGCTGGGGGGGGTGTGCTCTTGACATCTTGTTATCCATCTTCGCAAAGGGGTCCCAGCCCTTGTAACCCCCCTCCCTGCCCCATTTGTAATCTAGAACTTGCGGTGGTTTCAGTTCCGTGGCTTCGGCTGTCGTTGCAGAAAGTGCCCGGGACTAGCCTCTTGCAGCAGAGACACAGTCCGGCCCCTGGAGCACGAGAGCTTCTTCCGCAAGTCTCTGTTTTCAGGGTTGGCCCGGCCCAAGACGTTTTGCTGCCTGAGCGGGGATGAGGATTTTTTGCAAAAGGATACTTAAGTAAATGCTAAGGTACTTTGCATTAGCAAATGTTTGGCTGCCCTGTGTTGGGAGTTGTAGCCCAACAACATCTGGGCACCAGGCAGACAAAGGCTGCCCTAAAGAGTGATCTAATTTAGTACATTTGTTTTACTTTTATTTCATAAGCTGCTTTGGCTGTGTGCAGTAAAGCTAACCAACTGAATATATTCTATAAGCAATGCTAAGAAGGTTGAAGCTGCCAGCCTTACCTAATAATGTATTTGTAGTTTGCATCCATTCACTGTTACTGGAGAAATTATTTCTGGCACCGAAAAAAGTTTCCACCCCACATCACTGTGCTTCAGGGAGAGCAGGAACAATGAAACCCTCACCTTGTCCTGCTCTTGTTGGAGTGTATAAGACACAAGACTGGCAAAGTTATGTTGACACTTTGGACAAGCATTTCTTCTCCTTTATGGCAGTAAAAATGCAATAATAAATTGAATTTATTCAATTTGCTGCCCCCTCGAGTTGACCAGAATTCCACTCTGCTGATCCTGTCTGTGTTGTGTTTGCTGCAACATACTGCTATCCACTTGAGAAGTTGTATCTTGGAACTTTGCTGTGATTTTTAAAATTTAATTTTATACTACTTCATCCCATACCACCCCACCTATTTTATCTTCACAACAACTTGTGGGATAAGATAGACTGCAAGAGAGAGTGGCCGCCCAAGATCACACAGGGGCCTTCAGGGCTGAGTGTGACTTTGAATCTGGGTCCTCCCAGTCCTAGGCCAGTACTCTGAGCACTATGTCGTGCAGTCTGCCTCACTGACTTTTTAAATTCCTTCTATTCAAAGTGGTGTATGGTTCTCCCCTGTCCCCTGTTCTCCTTGGCTACAATCCTGTGAAGTACATGAGGTGCTGAATTATCCAGGTTCACCTAGCAAACAGTGTAGCTGAGCATGGATTTGAACACCCAGCACTCTTATATTACACTGGCTTGTCATCGTCCCTCTGCAAATTGTTTTGTGGTCACACACACACAGAGGACACATGACAAAGCTGGGGTGGGGAGAACAGCACCTGTGCAGCTTTTTAAAGGGCACAGGATACCAGATTTCAAAGAAGAAGGCACTGTTCATAAGCATGAATTGTACCAGGGAGGAGTACAGTTCTTCCTTTAGCAGAACTGTGACATAAATGTCAGCAGCCCTAGAAGGATGTGGCCTGAAGCGTTTGACAAGGTATTCATTCAGTTCTGCCATCTTCAGGCTTCCCTTGTGATGCCTTCCTTCCTTCATGTACATTGAGTACCATGAGTGGGTTTCAGCAACTCTCTGATTCACAAGTGGGGAGGCTAACGTACTTTCCTTTAACTTGCATACCTACTTTTTATATGTCAAATAAGCTTACATCTGGAGCTCTGGTTCTAATTATTATTACTGATTGAGAGTGCAGAACGGGGCAGTCATAAATTATTCCAGTCATTATTCTGAAATAGTAGCATGACTTGAAATTCCTTAACAAATAATTAACATCATGAACTCAGAAGAAAATTGAATATGCTGACTCGACCAAGGTATGTGTAAATTGCTTCATCATCTGTGATGTTTAGTACATTGTTTAAAAGTAGATATGTGTAAGGATTTGGGCATGCCCTGTGTGATTCCAACCCACCCACACAATGCCAAAGCATAAATTGCTTGTGGAACCCCTTTCAGTTTCCAAACTGGCTTGCCATGTTTTAGATGTATGATGTAATTCATACTTTATGTTAGTACTTTTAAAAATGTTAGGTAATTTTTAAAACGTGGTTTGACCTGCTCCATTTATGGGGTGGGGCACAAAGCCTCCTTGAGCACGTTAAGCTAGCAGCATGGTTTTATGGATTAACTGGGTGTAGCAGAAAATACCTGTCATTTGTTTGTATTGAGTGGTCACAAGGGAAGAGTGCTTACACTTCTTCACTAATATTAAGCTGTAGAATCTAATGCATGTAACCAAAAGAAAATAATTTTGGCTTAGTATGCACTATTCTTAACAAACTGCAATAAGGAGAAAAGTTTATTACTAAGAATGGGGGTGGGGGAGAGAAATAAATAAATATACATATTAAGGTAAAGGACCCCTGGATGGTTAAGTCCAGTCAAAGGCGATTATGGGGCTGCTGCGCTCATCTTGTTTTCAGGCCAAGGGAGCTGGCGTTTGTCCACAGACAGCGGGGATTCGAACATCCAACCTTCTAATTGGCAAGCCCAAGATGTTCAGTAGTTTAGACCACAGTGTTACCCGCGTCCCTACATATATTAAAGTATCTTAATGTGGTCAGAATACTTCCAAACTATGTCAAAGAGGCATGTGGGCCTGTCTGAACTGCTACTACCTAATATAATGGTAGCTTTATGCTTTCTTTTTTTAGTGGACTTACCATTGACGACTCTAAACTTGATGGGCCTTTGTTACAAATTTTATTTATGAACAATACTGTTTCGAAGTAAGTATATATATTTTATATCGGTTAAGTTCAGAATGTTTGTATCGTGGGTGCCTTCTAGAGTATTGAGCTTTGAGTGGTGGGTCAGAACCCACTAGTCTACTGTCCCCCAATATAAGGTGTGTCATGTCTGTAGCTGTGTACCCCAATTTTTTAGGTGTGTGTGTGTATGTGTGTGTTCAAATGAGAACTGGAAACATTGGGTGGTTGGGTAAATAAGCCATATGTAGATTTTTAAAAAAAGTTAAATTAAAGTTCCCACATAGTAGGTTGTAGTCCCTAGTCTAAAAAACGTTGAAAGCTATTGCTCTACAGATATTTAAAGAAAACGTGTGCAACATGAAAGGAATTTTGAATTTCTGCAGTGCTACCAAAACACTGGATAGGACAAATGCCTGTACCTTTCCCCCCAAAGTTTGATCTACAAGCTCTTCCTTCTGCAGAATTGCAGAACAAAATCCTCAGCTTGAACAGTGTCTAAGAGCAGTCTGTGAGAGAGATGCTTTATAACAAAAAAAGACAGCATATCTATTTTGAAAATTCTTGTATAGGCAATATCATCAAGAAATAGAAGATTTTATATCTTGTTTAGTTCAAAAATATGAGGAGCAACAAAGTGCTGAATCTGACAAGACCTACTTCAATGTTAAGCCGCAGGTATTTATATATTAATGAAATGATCTAAACCTTTTCTTTTATTGGTATCCGTTGTTACTGTTGTAGTAGACTAGCCCTAATAGCCTTTGTTATACCATGTTTCCTTAAAAGCATAAGAAGAGAAGCACATAAGCGACATTTTCGAGAAATAACATGGTCAAAAATGTCCTGCTGCAATGTGCTAACTGGTCATGTTCTTCAGTAGCACAGTGTATGATGCCACTACTCCATGTGAAGATAGGCAATACTGAGTCAATCCATTGGTCCACCTAGCCCAGTATTGTCTCTCAGGACTAACAGTAGCTTCCCAAGGCCTCAGGTAGGGGACTTTCCCAGCCCTGCTACCTGAAGTCCTTTTCGCTTGAGATGCCACTACATCCAAAGCAGCCACTGAGCTATGTCCATCCAGTGTGCACTCAGAGCACCTGTGCGCACATGGCCTTCCCTGTTCACTTTGTGGAAGAGGGCATCGCTATGCTTATAGGAGGTTAAGCTAAAGACTTCAGAGAAAGCAAAGAGAGTGGATTTTTAGCTGAAATTTGAAGGGATGGTGGGGAGGGGGGAAGAGTTTCTTGATGGAAGAAAGTTAGGATATAAATGCAAGAATTTTTTAAAGAATCCTGTAGGCTGGGGAACTTGTTGCCTTCCAGATATTGCTCAACTCTGGAGTTGCCCATCATTCCTGACAATAGACCATGCTTGCTGGGACAGATGGCATTGGAATCCCAACAGCCTCTAGAGGGCACCAGGTTCCCTATTCCTGATACAAGTGTTCTGGAAGTGCGTTCAGGCATAATGAGTTATATAGGAGAACGCTCATAATTATATACTTTGTTGTTTGATAAATATAATCTTAGTTTTGCAAACTGTGATTTGTCTTTCTATTAGCCTTCTAGTTTTATGTTGGAAGAAGACCATAAAGTGACAATCTCAAATACATCAAAAAAAATCAAGGAGGCCTTTAGTGTAAGTTACTCCTTTGCTTTGTGGTGTATGTGCTTGAATCCTACATTTTAGATTTCTGAACCATAGCATTAGAAAAGGGTTGACAAGATGCTTAAAGAGCCATGTAATTCTCACTGTATTTAATTATTGTTAAGTTGTTGTAATTCTTGGGAGGCCAAAACTCATATTAATTGGCTGGGCTTTTAGTTATGGGTGTGTAAGATGTAAGATCTTGTTTGTAAAACCTTAAAACAGGAGAACCTTTATTGTAATGTACTTAATTATATCAAAATATATATTTGTGAAATATTTAAGTACATTTTTAAAAAGGAATGTTGTCTTTCAATCTGATAAAATGCTGACAATTTTTGACTCTTTCTACAGGTTGTAGGAAGTGTTCTCTATTTTACCAATTTTTGTCTTGATAAACTGGGGCAGCCTATATTAAATGAAAACCCTCAGCTGACAGATGGATGGGAAATACCCAAGTATCCTATTTAGTTTAATGTCCTCCTCTTTTCCTGCTATCAATGCAACTTAATCCAATCAGTACTAAACCAGATTCAATCTACATATTTTGAGTCTATTAACTACGTAATTGTGGTGTCATACGTTACAGGGCATGCCCTTTTTGGTGAAACATTATTTCTGGTGATTGGATTTCCTGCTCTGCTTAAAGATGCTATTGGGCTTCCATGCTATATTTCTCAATAGTGGAGTCAGGCAGCTGACACGCTACACTGATCAGGCTAAACTCTACTATTAAAAGATAGCATGCTTTCAACAATGATGGAGCCATCCTTTCAAGCAGAATCTTGCCTTCATGGTATTGATTATGAGTCTCATCTTACCTTTCTTAAGCAAAAAACAAACAAAATTAAACTTTGTAATAACAATTTATACCAAAACACTTCTGGGTCATAGCCATCATGCATACACAGACACGTAAACCTCAGTTGTTCTGTTTCTACAATGGCAATTCCTTATTGAACTCTCAAGATACCAGCAAGTTTTCACGCAGATTCTTTCTCTAGATGGACAGGAGATACAAGTAAAGCCTAAAAGGTTTGTATTTCTCTAAATCTATGAAAATTTCTAGTTAAAAAACTGAAATGTGCTGTGGTTGATAAGTAATGGATATGACTTAGAATGAGAGCAAAGTGCAGATTAAATTGCTGGCATAAAGAGCACCCTTCATGATGTAACAGCTTGCCACTTTTAAGGCATTTTGTGATACTAAGTGTGAAGTGCAGCCTCTTATGACCAAAAGTATAGGGGGAGAGGGAGCTGGAAGGTTCTGGGTGCTTTGAAGACCTTATTCAGGCACATCCAAAATAACTATAGCAGCCTTTGCCAACCTGGTGCCCTCCAGACGTTTTGGGCTACAACTGTCATCAACCTCAGCCAGCACAGCCATGCTGGGGGACACCAGGTTAGCAAGAGCTACTCAGACCTCGCTGTCCATCTTCCTGCTCATAACTCTCGTAAAACTCCATTCCCCCCCCCTTTAATTTGATAGAAACACAGATAAAATCTGCTAGGAGACAGGCTTATTAACTTTCATTAAGAATTAACTAGATGAGTCCTCAAGTAGGGCATTAGAATAATAGATTGAGCCAACATTTCATGAACAATTAAAAATAAAAATTTACTCCTCAGCTTTATAATTGGAGAGGGCCATGTGCCTTGACATAGACTTTTAAGTAGTTATTTCCAAAATATTTTGAAAAGCAGTGCACTGGTGCAAATGAAAGTTGAAAGTGGCCTTCTCCATAATGGCCAAAGCATGAAAATAATTGTTTCATGCACTGACCCATTCAGTTTCCTCTCACACTTCCTGATTCTCACAAACTGTGGTTTCACTTCAAACCTGAATTGGAAGCCACACTTTAAAATGGGCTTCCGTGGTTCAGGCACACCGTTTCCACCTGCTTTGGGTGTCATGGCAAATTGTGGCGTGGTCTGTGGGAGGGGTTGCAAGAGAAAGAAGGAGCACAAAATCACAAAGTCCATAACAAGAAGTCCAACTATGATGTCTTGGATCAGAGCACTTTTTTTCTTTTTCTTTCCAACATCCAAATTTCCACTACATACTACTTTATTTGTCAGACTGTTGTAGCATAGTCACAAAATGTTTAAAATGTTCAGATGACATTGCTGTTAGTATACTTCCTCCTGCATTCTTCTGTGCTGTCACAACTGGGTTTGGTATATTAGGCATATGGGTGACATTTTAAAAAGGCTGTTGGAAATATGTAATGGACCCACATATTTGTTAAGTCATTATTAAATATTAGTGTTATAAACTGTTTACTTTTATAAAGCAGGCCAAAATCTCACTGCTTCAATTGTGGCTCTGAAGACCACCAAATGAAAGATTGTCCACAGGTAAAATATTCCTTCTGATGTTCTGTCCTCAGAGCACATTGATAACCAGATATAGATTACCGGTAATTTGAAAGGATTCAGTTGGGTTTTGATAAAGCTGTATAATCCATTTGAATATTGTTGATATGTTTTATATCTTAAGACACATATTTTGCTGCGTATGTCCCTATTAAAATATTCTAGGGTCTTTTAAAAAACAAGTTTAAACAATTGTATTCAGCAACATATATCCTCTGTAAGGCCAAAACTTTTAAGTATCAAATAGTCCAACTCTGTATAGTACTAGGCAGACTGTTATTCCACAGGTGAATCAAGGGAATTTGTATGTGTAACTTGGTAGCTGGTATTGTCCTGATTTCCCCCCCTCTAACTACATTTTAGCCACGAAATGCTGCCCGTATAAGTGAAAAAAGGAAGCAGTTTATGGATGCTTGTGGGGAAGCAGGAAACCAAAACTTCCAACAGCGGTACCATGCAGAAGAAGTTGAAGAAAGGTTTGGAAGGTTCAAACCAGGAATAATTAGGTATTTTCTCTCTCTCACTGAATATAAACCATCCTTTCCCAACCTGGTGCTCTTTGAAAGCTTTGGACTACAACTCATATCAGCAAGGACCAGCATGGCTCTTCTGGCTGGTGCTGATGGAACTTGTAGTCCAAAATATCTGGAAGGCACAAAGTTGGAGAAAGCTGAAAACATGGGGGCAGGGACTGGATGGCTCAGAACTCCTGCCTTCAGGTACCTGATTTTTACTAAATCTAACCGAATATTGAAAATACCTTTAAAATGTTTTGCTCACTCTCATTTCAATATTTGCTACTAGCACCAAGATCTGCACCTGCAGTGGCTCCACCCAGGTCTGCACCTAAGACTTCAAGGCCCACTGCAGCGGCCTCATGATCACATTGCACCCAAGACAAGCGGAGTGCAATTTTTTATGCTGAAAGAAAAAGCAAGGTGTGGACTACAAGTAAGGCGTGGTGCCTGCCCCACCTAAAACAGTTGAAGCTGCAGCAGGAAAAGACTTAGACACAATACTCATAGAAGAATTTGCAGCACAGCATATTTCACTTAAAACCATGATTATGGAGACATGGAAGGAGCTGATAACCCCTTTGGAAAGAGTGGTAGATGCAATAGTGGAGAAATTTGCTGGCACCACTGAAACCATCTCAGCAGCAATGGATCTGGTACACTTAGATGAAAAAAATTGAAGCGGCTCCTCCGAGAAAATAAGGATACAAAATCTAAGCTGGAGGAGGTGGAAAACAGAGCCTGAAAGCTTACTTTACATGTGAGAGTCATTAAAGAGGGGGCAGAAGGAGACAGTATTATGGACTTCATATTTCAGTGATTCAAAAGTGTGATACCCACCTTAGAGCTACTCAGTGCTTTTTTTCTGGGTGGAACGTAGGGGTACGCATACCCCTAAACATTTTGTGAATTTAAGTTTGGCCTCATTGAGCGGCAGTATTTCAATATGAGTAGGAAAATGAGAGTACCCCTAAACTTACTTTCTTTTTTTTTTTTTAAAGAAAAAAGCACTGGAGCTACCTTTGGGGACAAGAGAGAGCTCACAGAGCACTATCAGTCTGTGAGGCACTGTTAAGTGCTTTCACCAATTCAAAAAGGACAAGATTTGGATAGCTTTTAACAAATGTGAAAGGAAGAATATGAAAATCACCCAGTTACAGTGCTTCAGGATTTATCTCTGGAAACAGAGAATAAAAGAGAAATGTGTCCAGTAATGTTCAAGTTGCAAGAAGCAGGAATATGATATTACTGGGCTTTTCATTTCCATCTGGTAGTCACTACAGGAAATTCAACATTCTCAGCAGCAAATCTCAGAGAACAAATTTACCGGCAGCATTCGTTCCTGAGATAGCTGAATATCTAGAACAACAAGATAGCAAAGATCCAGAAAAAGAACCCAGATAGAAGGTGTACATCGTATCTCAAATAGTGCGAAATAGGAGAATGGGCCACAGGAGGAGCGGCAGTGTTCACCCATCAGAAAGATCTTTCCACTGTCAAACAACCAGAAAAAGAACCAATAAAATAAAACTGCTTCAAGGATTGCAAACTCTTAAAAAAGAGTGCTTGCTGCCATTTTGGAACCCTTAGCAATAAAGCTGCATCCAGACCTGGCTGGTATGGGAGTCACATGGGGAAACCCAGCCAGATGGGCGGGGTATAAATAATAAATTATTGTCTTTATACATTATTATAACAGTTATGAAATTCATGAAAATCAGTCACTTATACATAACAACAGGCAAATATATTCAAGCTGGACACAACTCTGCAGCTTTCTTATATAATTCCAGCGTGACCTTAAGTTTTCCATCAGGATACAAATCTCTCTTGTTTGTTTTCTTAAAATGTAGCAGACAACTTCCCCAAATAGTGTTGTTCAGCCCCTTCATATTTCTAACAGGATGTCATTTGTCCTATTGCAGTGAGGAACTTCAGGATGCACTTGGTGTCACTGATAAGACTCTTCCGCCTTTCATCTATCGAATGCGGCAACTGGGCTATCCCCCAGGTTGGCTCAAGGAGGCAGAAATGGAAAAATCTGGACTAACACTCTATGATGGAAAAGGTAAGTTTAGTGGTGAGAACGGCCCTCATTACCTTACTGCAAATGTGTTTTATTTTTTCGTAATAAGACGATAGTAAAGGTAAAGATACCCCTGCCCGTACGGGCCAATCTTGACAGACTCTGGGGTTGTGCGCCCATCTCACTCAAGAGGCCGGGGGCCAGCGCTGTCCGCAGACACTTCCGGGTCACGTGGCCAGCGTGACAAGCTGCATCTGGCGAGCCAGCGCAGCACACGGAACGCCGTTTACCTTCCCGCTGGTAAGCGGTCCCTATTTATCTACTTGCCCCCGGGGGTGCTTTCGAACTGCTAGGTTAGCAGGCGAATAAGAGGATACCTGTCCATTATTTGGCTTTTGACTTTGAAAAGTGTTCCACCATTCTGGTTTCTGACTGTAAAAAAAATAGTTAAAATAGTGTTGTTTATTGTTACAGCCTGTTATATGAGATGTTTGCCTATTGATTCTTTCCAATAATAATGGAAATTCTGTAATACCATTAGATTATCTGGACCCAATTCAATTCAAGGCATTGAAACTACCTTGGCCGGCCTGGTTTCTTGGGAAAGGAACTGGGTAGTGCAATCTTGTTGATTCTTTTTGACTTCAATACTATTGACCACAGCATTCTTCTCAAACGACTTGTGGGTTGGAAATTGGGGGCACTGTTGTACAGTGATTTCATTCCTACCTTCAAGGCCGATTTTTTTTATTATTTTTTTTTAAATAATATTTATTAAAAGTTACAGAATTACAAAAAGAAAGAAGAAAAAAGAAGAAATAACAAAAAAGAAAAAAGAAAAAATACATAAAAAACCAATACAACACAACAACAACAACAAAAAGATACAAATCCCATTTTGCATATCTTTACCTTTCATTTGCTTGTTTCATTGACCTCCTCACACCTCCCTTTTTGTATTCTAGCTTAATTATTTGTTTCAGCAAATTCTTTTCATCTTTCTCAATTTTTACTAAATAATTTATCTTAACAGTCTAACCTATTACTTAACTCAGCAGATCCTTTCCATCTTTCACCATATTCTGATATTCAATTTGCCTTATCACACATCATCAGACCAGCCCATTCCCCAGAGTCCCACTCCCCGCAGTCATCAGCGTAATCCGAAAAATATTTAACAGCATGTTTCAAAGTCCCTCCGAAATTAAGAGGCTCCTCAGCTCCAGACTTCCCCTGGCCCACTCCAAATTCAATCTTCAAAAACAGCTGCTTATGCTCCTGCAGGGCCTCACATCTCTCCATTTGTATTACTTGAGGTGCTACCGCAACCTCGTCCATTATCTTCTGCACTTGTACTTGCCCAGTTAAAACAGGTTCCTGAGTTGGTCCCTGAATGATTTCTGTGTCAGTATTCCCTACAGCCGTCATCGAATCCATCTTTTCATTCATCAAATCCATCTTCTCATGCATCTGCTCCAACAGAGCACTTGTCTTGCACAAAGCAAGCACCAAAGCTTCCTCCCAACACATTTTTGTCCAAGGTCAAAAGACTGGTCCCACGATCTTAATCTTACAGCTGTAGAGTCCCCAAGCGGACTGCAGCAACAATTTAACAAACTCCCTCTAGAGGAGACAATTTCTATTTGTATCCATCTTTTTAAAGCAAGTCCAACAAAGGAAGGTTACTTTCATTTTTCAAATATTTTGTTTCTTTAAAATGCAAAAGGCAACATTGGAATCAGTTTGTTTCTCTTTTTTAGCTATCTGTCAAAATGTTCCATTCACAGTCAATGAATGTCTCCAACAATTTCTGTCTCTGGCACCCCGTTCCCAGGTTTGAGACGGTGGAAACTTATCTTTCTTTACTCCCTCTCCTGCAGGTTTAAACAGTCTCCTGCTTCCAAGGGGGGTTTTAGTGGTTATAAATGAAGGAAATTTCGGCCTTTATAAACGACTTTCCAGGCTATTAGCTTACAAGGTTTTGCTTCAGTTTATATACAAAAAGCGGAAGGCGGACTTCCTGTTTCGATGCCAAATTAGTATGTTTCTTGATCCAATTTTCCGTTTCTACTCACGAGTACTTGTTTAGAGTCCAATTGTCCACAGGAAAAAGTCAGCGCTCTCCGGCAATGGCTGTGCGGCTTCACTCCGTGAAAGTAGCAATCAGTTCGCAGCACCGCGCTGCTCACCCCACTTCGCTCCGGAGCCCCAAAATGGGGTTCCCCGTGAGTAGGGGAGGCGCTCCTGGTGCCCTGCCAAACCCCACGTTCCCAGGCTTCCTCCGCCTGGGATTTCTAGCGGGTCCCCACCTTCGCCGCGGTGGGAAGACCCAGTTTCCACGGAGCCAGTTCCTCCGGTCGGAGGAACTCCACCATTCGCCGATGGCGCTAACCCGGAAGTTCCTTCAAGGCCGATTTTAGACAGCAGCAATGGGGGACTATTACTCAGCACACTGAGCTCACTAGTGGGGTTCCCGGGGGGGCGGTCAGTCTCTTGTCCCCTGTGCTTTTTAACATCCATATGACTGGTAGATGTCACCAGGCCGTTTGGAGTGAAATGTCAAGTGTGCTGATGACACCCATCTCAATTTCCATGTTCCATCTGAATCAGGAGTGCCAGTTCAGGTGTTTGAGCATTGCCTGGAGGTAATGAAGGGCTGGGTGTAAACCAATAAATTGAAGCCGAATCCAGACATGAAAGTAATATCTGTTGTCAATTCTAAAGTTCAGCAGTAGGGAGATGCATGTACTCCCTTGGAAGAACCAGGTGTGTAGCTTGGTGGGTACTACGTTATCCTTCTATGTCATTTGAGACCCAGTGTTATGCTGTTCCTTGATAGGGATAACTTATCACAGTGATCCATGGTCACTTCCCAGTCCATGTCAGGCTACCCTTAAAGATCATTCGGAAGCTGCAGCTAGTGCAGAACACACTAGTGAAGCTGCTGGTGGATGTATACATAGTCTGGCTGGCCTTGAAAAATCTGCACTGGTTATCAGCCCACTGTGGAGCCCAATTTAAGCTGTGGAACGACACATAAGATTTTCAACAGCTGGTCAATACACACCTTTTTGCCCAGTGCTTTGGTTGAGTAGATGTCTCTCCTCTTTTCTGTGCTGTTGTTCTAATATTGGTTGTTTTTCTCATTTTATTTTCTGATTTTAATGTACATTGTATTTATTTGAAACCTGAAACACCCCTCCCCCTGGGATTGTTTGGGGTGGATTGTAAGTCCAAATATGATAATAAACAGTTATTATATGTGTGATAAGACGAGTGTGTGGCTTAGGGCACCCCCCCCCCATGTTTTCAGAAAAAGTTCCATTGTTACTAAAATTCATTGGAACAATCTATGGATGCATTAATTGAGATTCCTGCATTGTGGGGAGTTGGACTTAATTGCTAGATTTGTAGCCAATGAAGTCCTACTCAGAGTAGACCTGTTGGAATGAGTGTGCCTAAGTCATGTTCATTAATTTTAATGGGTCTTTTCTGGGTAGGACTAGCATTGACTACAACCTTAAATAAGTACCATAACCCAAGCTTATGGGTTTATCTTGGGGTTTCTGGTGGAGTGGTGCTAAATTTTTCAGTTCTGAATATGTGGTGCATAAAAAATGACTGGTTATTTCTTTTGTGATTAATTATACAATGTTGTTTTGCTTTTTATCACAGAATCTGTGCATTCCAGCACCCTGTTGTCAAAGTGGTTAGAAGCAACCGGAGCTCACCATTATATGTGCCAAGTCCTCTTTTGTCAATAGTATCAGTAACTATTTGTGGTGTTTTGTTACAGCATCTCCTGGTGGTGAAACAGAGGCAGAAGAATATTACCAACAGAATTGGCGTGTCACTTATGATGTCTCTAAGTTGATAAACTATCCAGGTTTTAATATGTCCACTCCGAATGGAGTAACAGATGTAAGTGACTAGTTTTACACTTTCATCACCTCCTTCCTCCAAAGAGTGACAAAGAATTTCTTTTACACGTTATCTGTATCTGACAGTCCTTTCAAAATTTATTTGGAGGGACTCCCTGCTTCCACATGAACTGCCCTGGCCTGTATCTGAAGAAGTGTGCATGCACACAAAAGCTCATACCAATAACAAACATAGTTGGTCTATAAGGTGCTACTGGAAGGAATTTTTTAAAATTTTGTTTTGACTACGGCAGACCAACACAGCTAACTGCCCTGGCCTTGAGATGGTCCTCAAAGGCCCTCTCCTCTGGCCCACCATTAATGCAGATCTGGTTGGTGGGTACCATGGACGGCCTTTTTGACAGTGGTTCCTCAACTTTGGAACTCCCTTCCCGAGGAGGGGTTTCCTCTTTGGTTTCTTTCATGCAGACCTTTCACGTGCATTTTAGTCTGTTCTACTTTTTAACACCAGCTTGGTATTTCAGCTCCCAATGTTTTTATATTCTAAGCTGTATTGTCTTGTTTTTAATTTGTATTGATATATTATTGTTAGAGCTGCCCCTGGTCCCAGTTCACAAAGGACCAACGCCAGTTCCTCTTTATATACAGAAGTCTTTATTGAAGTTCATTATTGGTTTGACAGCCGTGGTGCACAGCCCTACGTCTGAAACCCTAGACCGTCGAAGCTCCGTCTGAGTCTCCTCCCCCCAGACACCAGTTTAAGACCCTGGCTTTGCTCCACCTCTTCCTCTGCTCCCTTTTCCTCTGGGTCCGCTTGTCTGCCGAGGTCTTGCCCTTCCTAGACTCTTCTGAGGCTGAATCCCCTGAGTCTTCCCCCTCCCTCCGGCGAGCTTTAGGACCTGGTTCCCAATCCGTGCTTTCTGCTGTCCCGCGCGCCTGTACATTTGAACTTGGCGCGCGCGCCCAGCATGCCACCTTCCTTCTGACCGTTATACAGCTCCTGTCGCTGCTTCCCTCTTCGGGGATGCCAGCTGGGCTTGACTCCGCCTCCCTGCTTGCCGGAGGAGACGCTGACTCTGACCTATGGGGCTCTTCCTTCTCACTACGCTCTGGTGGGGAAGCTGGCCCTGATTTCCAGCTACTGCTTTGGGAGTCTCCGCTGGCCCCCTGCTTCTGGTGTGTCCCCCCTGGGACCCCCCTTGCCCTGGCCATCGGCGCCCCCTTCTGGGAATCTTCTGATTCACTGGAGAGGCTCATGGAATCTCTCGGGTCACTGTCATTCTGCCCTCCACTGCCCTCAGATTCTTCCCCTTCGCTCTCCATTTCCTCTCTCCCCTGCGCCTCTGCTCCTGAGCCCCTGACAATTATGTTCTCACCTGTTGTAAATTCTGTGTTTGGAATACACATTTGTTAAATATTTTTCTTACAGTTCATTCTTTGCTTTCTTCCTCTTTTTGCTAAACACATATATGCAAGCAAGTTTTCTAGTCCTGCACGTTGATCAGCATCTTCTTTTACTGATAGCCATGTATTTATATTCCTGCAGGAATGGAGGATGTTTGGTTCCGTTCCCCTTCAGCCCAGTCAGCAGAAGGATATCTTTGCCCACTATCTTTCTACCTATCATTCGGTGACTATATTTAAATGTGCTTGTGAAAGCTGTGTGTATTGATGTTTCCAGTTAACAATCATATTTCTAGTTCTGCATAGAATTCTCTAATTTATGATAGTAAAAAGCATACATAGGTCAGAGGAACATGTATAGGTGTACATTTCTGTAGATTGTTGCCATGTTTGATACTTGTCTTCTGGTGTCTTTATGTCATATTTTGTTCATTAGTTTCAATTAGTTACTTTTCCATTAGCCTGTCTCTAGGAACCCTTTCAGGGTTGAAGAGTGCAATAGGAGTTATTGAAATCTGTTAACATAAATCACATAAGAGCTAGGGTCCCTGATGGGAACATATTTTCAAGATACGGCAGTTGGTTGCTTTGAACTCTTTCGAACCATTTTAACCACCTATGATAATGTGAATAAAGAGTGTGCAGTTCTATAACCAGAAATATTAGTGGGCAGATTTAAATTTAGGGTTGTATCCAGTGTAGTGGAATCCAGTGTAGCATAAGTTAGAAGAATACTTGTTCTGCTGATGTAATGTTTTGCACCAGCAAAATGTTGTGCAAGAGAGTGCTCAGCAGGTTGCTGATAATGTGCTGCACAATAGATTCCTTGGTTATGCAACATTAAAACTTGCTCATCTGCTAGTGCAAGAGCTTTATGCTAGCAGACAGAGAATGCTGGAGGCAGTTCTTAGTATTTATTTTGCAAAATAGCAATACATACATACATACATACATACATACATACATACATTTTAAAACAAACCTAAATCCAAGCAGTGTACAGTATATAAATTTCCATGTGTTTTCCAGTTCTTTTGGTACCTTTAGAATCATTGGCCAGACTTCTGGAAGTCAGAAGCAGTAAGGAAAAGGGATGGAAATTGCCTTTGTTTAAATGCTTAATAAAATAAACATTGAAAGCTCAGAGAAAGTGACCCTGTGAGGCCTCCTTCTCCATGGCTGTGGCCCACAGAGCACATGAGCACCTTCCATGAATGTATCTTCATAATCACGTTGAATACTCTTAATCTCTCTTGTTCCTTTGTGATGCTTCTTTAGTCAAGCCCAAAGTCCAGCAATAAAAGATCTTCATTTCACCAGAACGCTCATCATCCAAAAAGACAGAAAGGAAACACTGCTGAAGTATCATCAGCTGACATGGAGATGGATTCTGGTAAGCCTTTCAATACTAATAAACCTGTGCAATAAATATAGTTCATAAAATAGCTTTAAAACTTCCTTCTTCCCATCCCTATTAAAAATTATGATCCACCATACCTGTATACCACCATACCAGGGACGCGGGTGGCGCTGTGGGTAAAAGCCTCAGCGCCTAGGGCTTGCCGATCGAAAGGTCGGCGGTTCGAATCCCCGCGGCGGGGTGCGCTCCCGCTGCTCGGTCCCAGCGCCTGCCAACCTAGCAGTTCGAAAGCACCCCCGGGTGCAAGTAGATAAATAGGGACCGCTTACCAGCGGGAAGGTAAACGGCGTTCCGTGTGCTGCGCTGGCTCGCCAGATGCAGCTTGTCACGCTGGCCACGTGACCCGGAAGTGTCTTCGGACAGCGCTGGCCCCCAGCCTCTTGAGTGAGATGGGCACACAACCCTAGAGTCTGTCAAGACTGGCCCGTACGGGCAGGGGTACCTTTACCTTTACCTTTATACCTGTATACCAGCTTCCATTGAAAACAAGATAGGGATAGGGATGCTTACTAACAGTTGCTCTTTTTCTGATTTCAGACTTTGAAGCTCCACACAGTTCTCCTGGTTATGATAGCTTCCAGTTCCAACCTCCACTGCCTCCAGGGTCACCACTGAACGCCACTCCTCCCCCATTGCCACGGGGGACCCCTCCGTGTACTCCCCCCAACATTACCCCTCCCCGGCTTCCTCCATGTATTCCCCTACCAGTCACCCGTGATACTCCACCTTTGACTCCTTCCAGTGATTCTGCTCCACTGAGAGCAGAGGGCTCTGCTATGGATGAAGACACTTTGACTCTGGAAGAGCTTGAGGAGCAGCAGCGCCTCATTTGGGCAGCCCTGGAGCAAGCAGATAGTGCAAACAGTGACTCTGACATACCTGGAGAGAATCCTTTAACAGGAAACTCTGTAGCCTCATCACCGTCTCGAATTGAGTCAGACATTTTCCCAGAAGAAATAACATGCAAGAAGCTGGATGTATTGGAACTTGGGACTTCAGACAACAGTGAACAGGTACTCAAAGCAGAAGAGTCTGAAAAGAAACAGATTTCAGGTGATGAACTGATTGATTTGACAGACAATGAAGAACCGAATCCCATGGATTCTGAAGGCAGTGTTGAGAACTGCCCCTCAACCTCAGTGTCCAGGGTAAGCCACAGTGACTCTCCTGTGGTCATCAGTGCTGAGGTGTCCAAAAATGCCAGCCCTGTCCCTGACATGAGCAAGTTCGCTGCTGGGATAACACCTTTTGAATTTGACAATATGGCTGAATCTACTGGGATTTACCTCCGAATAAGAAGTGTGCTAAAGAACTCTCCTAGGAACCAGCAGAAAAGCAAGAAGGCTTCCTCCTAGGTGCCCTATTACTACTATTGGATACTACTCTGTACTTGCTTTATAAATAATGACCAAGTAAGAACAGACACATTGAAAGCTCCTGCTTTGTTCCTCCTATAATTATGTTACTTGTTTTAAAAAGTGCAGTGTACAGAGCTTCCATTTTGACTTCAGGGCCTGTTGCTGCCTAAAACCAATGTTTCTGCTAATACAAGAAACTGCTACCAAGTGAGTTAACTTTTCTGAAAATGTTTCCTGAATATGAGTTAATCTTTCTGACCCTGTTTGACTTGTGAAGTTAGAGCAGCGGCAACTGCAGGATTTTGTCTGTGCTTTCTGCATCACTGTAAACCAGTTTATTCTCAGTAGTTTTTAAAAGGTTCTCAACCTTTTACATGGTTTCTCCTTCATTTAAAATAGAAAAATTGTAGCAATGAAATGGGAATAATCAGGGGTTGTTTCACAATTATCCCTGCCCTTTTTGAAGAGTTTTATAAGTAATTTATGTGGGTCAGATTTTTTTTAGTACTACCTTCTTTCTTCTTTCTTTTTAGTAATGTCCCATATTTGAACTTGCTGTACATACATATTGATGCTTCTGTACAGAGGTTTAATAAAAAAAAATTTCATAACTTTTTTGTATGTAAATGTTTAGGTAGACTAGAAAAACCTACCGCTGGAAAACTGAATATGAAAATCCTGTTGTGGTTGAATCTTACACTCCCTTTTTCTGCCTTTAAACAAACAAACAAACAAACAAACAAACAAACAAACATTAAAGCAGAAGTGGGGAACTTTAGGCCTGGGGGGTCAGTTGTGCCTTCCTAGGCCTCGGCCATTGGGACTCTACTCAAGCCACGCAGCCCTGCTGCACTCCCTCCTCAAGTGCTTTTGCATGTTCTTGAATGGTAAAAACCAGCCTCTTGCTTGCCTGGATGCAGAGCCTGCTGTACAAATGTAAAAATCACACCGTTTCTCACCCCCTTTGGCCCTGCCCACCACAAGCAGCCCCCAGGTGGTTGCTCATTAGGAAATGAGGCCCTCAGCTGGAAAAGAAGTTGAATGCCCTTCTCTAAAGTTGCATGCATAATTAGCTGCTTGTACATTTGCATGCTACCTTTCTTTTGCCATGAAAATGAAGGTGTGGCATTGCATGGATAGTCTCTCAGGAGCACACTGCAGGTTTGTGTGCAGCTGTCCCGTCCTCCTTGCACAAAGGCTCCAATGCAGGCACCTTGGTTATTTGGAAGACTGGTGTCCTCCTGGCCCTTGGAGGAACCTGCCCTATGGTTCAAAATATAGTGAGCTAGCTGTTTTCAAATATGGACATGCTGTGCCATGTCAAATTAGTTTTTTACTTCACTTGCTTGAAGGCTTCTCCAATGATGTGTATGGTCATTCTCAATGGTATGTGTGAGGCCTCCACCACAAGCATGGATTAGGCAAGACGTGGCCTAGAATCCGTGGAAGTGCTGTCTTCCTACTCTTCCCCCTCCCTTTGCCTGCCTCGCTGAGTAGAGATTCCTTCTTCAGCTAACATGGTTTTCCTTCATCTATTTTCTTACTCTTTATTTCAGCCTTTATAGGAAATTGTTCTCCATTCCTTTTGCCCTAAGCCCACTCATCCCTCTGAGAGGGCGAATACAGTCATGGGAAAAAGAAAGTACACCTTCTTTGAATTCTGTGATTTTACATAGGACATAATAACCACCATCTGTTCCTTAGTAGGTCTTCTACCAGGGCTCCAGCTGCTTCTCTCATCTTTTCCACTAACATCTCCTTGCTGGAAATCCACTGATGGCTACAAAGGCTGCTCCATCTCCTTTCTCCAGGCACTATAAAATTGACATATGCCTCAGCTAAGGCAGCATTTGAAGGAAGGCTTCTCCAGAGAAGAGCCCAATAGATACATTTTACATTTCTATCGCATCTTTTCCTGCAAGGAGCTCAAGGTGGTATAAATGATTCTCCGCTCATTTAATCCCCACAACAACCCTGTGGGGTAAATTAGGCTGAGAGGCAGAGACTGGCCCGTGTGCACTTCATGGCTGAGTGCAGCTATGACTCCTGGTCTCTCGGATCCTCGTCTGACACTGACCACTATCCTCTAACGATCCACGTACCATGAATAATGCTCCTTGGATGAGAGTAGGACAACTCCAGGCCCATCCTGGGTGTGTCTTGGTTTTGTGCCATACCTTCCAGTGTTTTTTTTCCAGGGTGGCAGGTAGCTCCTTCCATTTGCCTCAGTGTCTTGCATTTGGCACTTCTGTTTCTTCGGCATTCATCAGGGGCTCTGAACAGGGAATTGAAGATGTACTGATTAAGTATTATTAATAAGAAAGTACATAGTTTTTAATTGTATCCATGTTTAATTGTTTTTCAGATATTGTTTTTCTTTTGTATGTTTTTAGTGGTTCTTGTTTCTATCTGTAAGTTGCTTTCATTCCTGTCAGGGGAAAATGGCAGCGGGGTATAAATAAATATATCCTTAATATCATGCATTCTAGGTTACATGACCGACCTATCACTGAAAATAAAATAAAAAGCAAACTCTGAGAAGTGCTTGTATCTGAAGGGTTAATTGGCTACATTACAGGAGATTTTAAATGGGTGCAGCAGTTCTAACTTTGTTTGAACTTGCCCATGCTATCACTGGTTTGTGTGAACTGTGGCCTGCTTTTGATTGGCAGCCGCTTTCTTTGGTCTCCAGTGCAAGCCTTTCCCATAGAATGCTCTAAACTGGAGATGCCAGGGATTAAATTGAGGAATTGGGGGCGTTCCCTCTTTGATGGAGTTGCTCAGCTAGCAAACACAATGCTAGGAAAGAGCCCGAGAGCCATGTAGCCTATGTGTGTTAGTGTGTTCCTGCAGATCTTTTGAACTCTGCTTCTCATCATCCCTGGAGAAAGTTTTCTGCATGCAAGACATACGCTCCACCATTGAGTTACTACCATTCTGTGCCAATCTTCATCTCATGTCTGAACCTGCGAAGTGCAGGAATTAAAATGTTGGCCTACTTTGTAGCATAGCAGTTGAAAATATATAAAAAATTATTTGACTGCTTGAGTAATTAGCATCCCTATAGTTTCATTATTGCTCCAAGGCAACTTAAATTTAGATATTAGGGAAATTAATTTCTATCTGTTGTCATGTATGTGTATGTTTATTTTTAACATTCTGTCCAGAACTCTTAAATAGTATATTACCAAAGCTAGACTTTGTTACTCTTTCTGTGCACATACATAATAGTACTGTTATTTTTTCTGGTTTCATTCCTCCTGTCCTTTCTTGCTTTTTAAAATATTTGTTCAGTTTCACATCTTTTACAGTTCTCTATTACATAATGAACCCTTGTCTATTGCAGTGAGAGACCTTCATGGCTGACTTTATTAACAAGTGTGTATTTTCTCCCTTAGGCTGTGGGTGTGTTCTATGACAATCTAGGCCAGGCAATTAAAGTGAGTGAGTAATAATGCTTGATCTAAGTAAAAGTGATGTGAGCCTTGAAGCTTTCCCACACAGCTTTTCTAATGCCATTCATACCTGGCTGATAGCTCTCCTACCACATAAACTTGATGGTGATTTATGCAGACCTGTTAGACTACTTTAAATGATTTGAGCTGTGAATGGCAAAGGTTCCAACCCAGCTAAAGTGGTGACTTAAGTCCCTTTGAAAGAAAGGGGGCTTAAGTTACGGTCCATCCACACTTTTGTCATGTGCTTTCTACTATTTTGTATTGGATCTATTATCACAGGTCTGAGAACTGTGGTTTTTTCCTCCCCCGCTGAATTGCATCTTAAGAAATCCCTGAAAAACAGCAGAAAAATCAAAATCAAGGAACACTACTATTAAAAGAGGCAGCGTAACACATGATGGGAATGGGAGGGCACCAGGTTGCCAAAGGCTGGGCTTTGTGTTTTTTCAGCTTGGAAAAAAAGATGTCTACAATGGGGATTAACGGGTTTATAAATTTATGTGTGGTGTGGAGAAAGCCAATTGACATTCCTCTATCCCAAAGAACTAGAACTTGGGGTCACCCAGGGGAATGAATGGTTTGGAACAGACAAAAGAAAATAGTTACTCAAACTACAAAATTAATGGTTTGAGTTGCCCCATGGAGTGGTAATGGCCATTAACTAAGGTGGCTGGATGTGGAGAAAGAAACAACTATATAGAACCTCTTGAAGGGGCAGGCTTTGGACTCTCAGGCACTGGTTAGTCACAGCAGACATGGCCGTTTCTTTTCCTGCCTTTGATGCCTTCGGATTAGCATTTCTTGGGGAAGCAGGATGCAGTACTGCTGTTGTTGTTTAGTCGTGTCCGACTCTTCGTGACCCCCTGGACCAGAGCACGCCAGGCAGTACTAGATGAACCTTTATTTAGTCTGATCCAGCTGGGCTCCTTTTATGTGTTCTTGAAACTTCCATTTTCAGTAGGCTTGCTCCCAAGTCAAAGGGTGTGCAGGATTGTAACGCAAATAGCTTGCAACAGGTGTGCGTGTTGCTGATCTATATTTTATTCTTCTTCTAAGTCCATTGCATGTGTTTATTCACCCTTTCAAAGCCTCCAAGTTTCCCTTTCAGCTTCTTCAGGGATGAAGGCATTCTGTCTCGTTGCCAGGAGCATAAGAATGAAGCCTGTGCTGTGCATTGTGGAACAAAGAGCTTTGCTGTCCAGGCCTGTCAATGTGGCAGCACTTGCCAGTACCATATTGACTCCAGGAGTGAAAAGAACATCTGCTGAGGGTTGCATAATATCATTCACTCCCACTTCTGCTGAAGCGCTTACACAGTGCAGATGTAACCAATATTTAACAATGCACATTAGAAAGCGCTCGCCGCATCTTTTAGAAGAAGGAATTGCCATGTTGTTCGATCAATTTATTGGCATTGCCAACTTACTGCTTCTTTGCCGTGCACAAGGTCATAATGTGCTTTTGAATGCAATCAGTGTTCTGGCTCCCTTTTTACCAAAAGGTAATGGTGAGTGCGCGCACGCGCACACACACACACACACACACACACACACACACACCAAGAGCAAATGCTTTGAAGCAAAACTGCTCAAATTTATTTTGGAAGTGCTTATCCTGTTTTCCTCTACGAGGCACAAAGACCCATACGATAAATAATGCAGTTCCTGGTGTACTTTGAAACTCCTCTCGTCTTTCTGCTGCTGCTCTGATCCAGTGTTTATTTTCCCCATGGCTCTGCTGCCAGCTTAATTTGTTTTAGTTTCAGCACCTCTGGAGATTCAGAGTCCAGCTTTGCAAGCATCATCTGGCTCGTGAGGGGTTGTTTTCTTGCAAATGACTAACAGAATATGTGTTAACTACTAAAAACATTTATGGGTCCATAACTTTTGTGGGCTTCTTTGGAAGGTTGCCCTGAACCAAGTAATTTCCTTAACTTCATGCTATTGTTCTTCCATATTTAGTAATGTCAGACAATTAAATGTGTTACATTTTTCTTAGTCCTCTGTACACACTAAATAAGAATATTTAATTGTTGCACAGCTATCTATAGAGAAGTGGCTGCTTACTGCTTCGTCATGAAGATGGTGACCACCCGGAAAGATGAAGAAACAAATACATTTTGTCTCAAGAAAAAAATATCTACAATTGTTGCTGATACAAACAGGTAAAATTGATAAACACAGAGAGTATGCTGGTGCCCCTCTGAAACTGTTTAAAATCGGACCAGCAATAATGATATTATTCTGTGGAGTTGAACATTTTGAGAGTGTTACAAGAGAAAAAAATATGAAGATTTAAGCAGCATCCATATATGTACTTGCTTGAATATTAAAGGTAAAGGTACCCCTGCCCGTACGGGCCAGTCTTGACAGACTCTAGGGTTGTGCGCCCATCTCACTCAAGAGGCCGGGGGCCAGCGCTGTCCGCAGACACTTCCGGGTCACGTGGCCAGCGTGACATCGCTGCTCTGGCGAGCCAGAGCTGCACACAGAACGCTGTTTACCTTCCCGCTAGTAAGCGGTCCCTATTTATCTACTTGCACCCAGGGGTGCTTTCGAACTGCTAGGTTGGCAGGCGCTGGGACCGAGCAGCGGGAGCGTACCGCGCCGTGGGGATTCGAACCGCCGACCTTTCGATCGGCAAGCCCTAGGCGCTGAGGCTTTTACCCACAGCGCCACCCGCGTCCCGAATATTATTGAATATTATATAACTATTGAATATTAGTCTCCCATAATTATTTTATTTTGTCCAAAAAGTACATAATCACCCCCCAAAAAACAGACAGGAATAAACCTATCCTGATCCCCCTTTTGTTTGTGTGTTGAAGAATTGCACTCTGTAAACTCTTGTTGCTTATGCTACAGTTATGCAATATCTGTAGGCAAAAAGAGGAACAAAAGGTGGCAGAAGGCAGAAGCATTGCTATGGGGCTTGCCAGGGGGGGGGGCGCTTCTCAGTCTTCAGATTCTGCTTGGCCAATTGCAGGGGGAAAGAGCAGGGGGTGGTGATGTATATATCTGCTCAAACAGCACAAGACACAGGAATTTCATGGCCATGTGGCCACTGAGGATAAAGAGACTGCTCCCATTTTATCTGTAGCTGTGGGTTTTCCATTGTTGTAAGTGACAAAGAGCTGCCTCCCTCTGAAACTGTTTATTACATATCTTCTGCATTTTCACCATCACTACTATTTTTTTAAAAAATAAAAAGCATACTGCATTGATCCTACTCATTGTCACTGATGTAGATGAATAAAAGTAAAGCATCCCATTAAGGTGTTTTTCTTAATCAGCCCAGAACCATATTGGTCTTTAGAAGGAAAAGGGTTCATTTAAAAAACCCTTACTCATGGTGTCTTCATGTGGCATGAATTTCCACGCTGACTTGAATTCTAGTGCTATAGTTCAATATGGCATAACGTAGCTCATGTCCCTAAAGACCAGTTAAATCATCAATTTTCCCATTTTCTTTGACAATGTTTCAAATGTTTTCCAATAGCACTTGGTGTGTTTTAAGGTGGGAATTCTGGCTGATGAATCCTCCTGCCAATTTCTCCCTGAAGAACAAAGTCATTGCTTTTATTTAAAAAACCAACACCTACTATTCTGCTGTCTTACACATAAATCAGTGGATTTTTGCAAAGAAATGTGCCCACCCTGCTATCTTCTGCTGTCTGCTACTTTGCTCCAGCTGAAATTCAGCTGAAATAAGCCCAATAGAATTCAGTAGGACTGACTGCAGGGTAAGTATGTGTCAGATTCCACTTGTTAGCCAGCCTGTCTGCGGTGAAAATATTCCATTCAAATCAATAGGATGTACATATGGCTTGCTGATTCGTTGTGAGAAAAGTAGGAATGGGTGCTTTACAAAAAGAGGTTGTAGGGGAAACAGAAGCCTCACTGAAATCAATAGGATGTGGCCAGGGTTGGTCCTTCATAGAGAAAGTGAAAATGAAGGAATTTTTAAAGGGGAAGAGAGAAAGGGTGGGGGAGAAGCTGTATTGATATAGCTAATTAATTTATGTTTAGGATTGGGTGGGCCTATGAGGAAACAAAGTGGGGAAAAGAAGAGGATTTTTAAAAAATAGAACTCCTACTGAAAGAGGATGTAAGCCTTGCCTGCTGAAGCCCAGAGGTGCAATCCTGGCGTCTCCAGGTGGGGCTGGGGGAGACTCCTGTCGGAAGCCCTGGAGACTTGCTGCCAGTTAGATCTGACTTGGCACAAGGAAAGAAGAGCCTTCGCCCGGATCAGGCCGGTGGCCCGTCCCACCAGCGGCCAACCAGACCGGGACCGGGTGCAAGAGAGAGCCCTCTTGGCCATGAAGTAGCAGCCGAATCCTCTTCTCAAGCCACCCAAGTTCCTGGCATCTCCAGGGCCGGCCCGAAACATTTTGGCACCTGAGGTGGGTGAGCCGCAAAAGGGCACCCCCCCCAGCCAGTTAAGATGAGAGGGGGGGGCAAAACACCACTGGGGTGAAGATGTGCGGTGCTTCCCGGGGGTCGGGATCCGCGGCCCGAGGGGGCGGGCTGGCGCTGGCCCCATCCCGGCCTCCCTCCGGGGGGAGGGAGTTCCGAGGCAGAAGGAAGGGGCGCGGGAAGGGGGGCCTGGCGAGGAGAATCCGAAGGCAGGCAGGCGGGGCGGAGAGAAGGGGGCCGAGAGCCGCGCAGAGCGGCGCGCGCAGCACGTGAGGAGGCGGCGGCGGCGGCGGGGCTGGCCTGGCTCCGCGTCTCCGCCCGCCCGCCCGCCTTGCGGAGCCCAGGCAGGAAGGCGGAAGAGCCCGGAGGCGCCGCTGCCGGGAGGGAGCCGAGGGCGCTGCCGGCGCGTCTGGCGGGGTGAGGCCGGGCGGGGGGGGTCCAGGCTCGCCTCTCTCTCCCCTCTCCGGGGCGCGGGGGGGGTCCCCTGCTTTGTCTCGGCTTCGAGGAAGGGGCCCCCGCTCCGCCTCCCCGTCTGCTCCCTGCCTGCTTCGCCCGCAGAGGGACCGCGGCGTTTTCGGGGGGGGGTGTCTGTTGCTCTGCCGTCTGGTAGCTGTGCCCCCCCCAGCAGGAGCAGCAGCATCGCTTGCATTCTGTCTTTCTTGGGGCGGGGGGGGGAGATCTGGCTGCTCTGCCCTCCTCTTGAAGGTGTGGTGGGTTGGAGCAGGAGGGGGCTCTCCTCTCCGTCCAGGTGGGCGAGGGATGCGCTGCGCGAGACTCTTCGTCAGGGCGACGGGGGGGGGTCCTCGCCCCCCTTCGGTGGTAGCAGCCTGTATCGCTTTTGCCAGGCGTCGCTGGAAGGGCTAACCTGCTCATTTTGCAGCCCCGGGGTTGATTGCTTTGTTGGGGTATAATATGATATTTGAGGCGCGGGGAGGGGGCAGACTCTGCTTTCCAGCTCGGACTCTTATTTGTCCTGGGAGGATCGGGATGAGAAGCTTTCTTTGCCCCCCAGGCAGCAGCTGAAGCCGATCTCAGCCTTCACTAAAGGGTTAATTGGTAGGTGTTGAAGGCTCCTTTGCAAGCTTGGGGGAGTGGGGGGTGTTTTGTATTTAGAGCCCCTGATGTTTTAATACTCTTAGGTTAAATTTTTAGTTCGTAAATGGGGGTCTATTTATGTTTTTCAGTTGGCATGGAGGCTTGCGTCTATGGCTGTTGAGCTAATAGGATTGTAAAAGGAGTGTGGCAGAGGTTGAGCATAGGTCGGCCTCTGTATCTGCTTCTCCAGACTGGTGTTGAAAAGGCCCTGCGGTGCCCCTTCGCCAGCCTTGTTCTCCATGCAGACTTTAGGAATGTGTGTCTGGAGGGGTGTGGGGTTCAAAGCTGTCAAGTTCTCCCTCTCAGCCCGCCATAAGGAGGGTGGGAGAAGCAGGGCCAGCCCAAAGCATTTTGGGACCTGCGGTGGACCCCAAAATGGAGCCTCCCTCCCTGCCAAGGAAGAAGGGGCGAGGGAAGAGGGGTGGGAGATCAACATCGAGATCTGCTGCCCCGTGGATCCTGCCACCTAAGGCGGTTGCCTGGCCTGGCCTCATGGTTGGGCTGGCTCTGAGAAGAAGCATTCTTGAGCTCTGCCTGTCAGTCTGCTAATGGAGTCACACAGACTGTGCTCCGTCATCTGATCTGCTCTTGCCTCGGATGACAGCAGCAGGTTTCTCTGGTACCCAGGCAGCGATCTGGCCTGAGAGAGGGAGACGACGGAGGTAGACCAGCATTGGGAGGTGCAGGCCATCTGCTTTGTGCTGGAGACCCTGTAAGGGTTCCAGATACTGCTGTTAGCAAGGAAGGTGCTTCCTCCTTGATCCCCTTCCTTCCAAAACAAAAGCTCTTGGAAGCCGAGAGGCAGGCAGTTTCATTTGAACTGGGTGGAGAGATGAAGCAATCAACTGGTGAGCAGTCTGCTGCATGACATCACTGGGTGGGTGGAAGTGCCATTGGCCAGATGAGCAGAGTAAGTACAGAACTTCCTGCCACGAGTGTTGAGAGTATAGATTTCCTTATAGAGCAGCTAGGACTGTATACTTTTACAATTGGAAATACCTTGATTGCAAGGAACAGCATGTTTAGAATGCTATATTACCCTTAAGTTGTTTCTCAAAGATAATGTTTATTACCAGAGACTGATTTTTCAATTTTCAGATTCATTTTAAGCGATTAATCACCTATGCTTGGTGTGTGAGAGAGATGTGTGTAAAGTGAAATTAGCACATGACCAGGACTTTGTTGCATGGATAGCTGGCTAGAATAGTTATCCTTGCCAAGCATTTGGTGGTTTAAGAATCTTTCCGTTGCTGATATGCATCTAGAGCTTAAATATCCTGTGATTAAAAAAATTAAGAGTGGCATGCTTCTCCCTCACTCTTGTGCATGGTGCAAATAAGTTTCTTCATGCCTCCGTATATATAGCTTTTGTGCAAGGGGAAAATATCAAATAACTCTGATTAAGTTCAAGTACGTCTTGTAACTTCTGCTCTTTGAGGTTTTGTGTTTTAGCATCTTTGTGACTTTTAAAACTACAATATGACTGTGAATCCACATTTTAGTAATAAATGTAGGAAAACTAGATTCTGTAGTAAATAAAAGCAGGTAAAACATACCGTATTCTGCCATCATGTAAATTTAGCCTTGT